AAAATTATTTAAAAATATACTTTTGTATTGCTTAGGTTCTGTCCAAATATACATGAAAATGAGTCAAAAATAAAGCTGTGGCCATCTGAAGATGCAGACCCTGTCATTGAGGTTCACCTTTTGGTGTTTGTCCTTGAAAATCATTGGCACACTGACACTTCTACTTTGGTGAATTTATGGTTTAAGACATAGGGATGCTAGGTATTAACCTATATTGAGAACATATTTCAAGGACCACTGTTTTTGTGTCCATCAGAACATTATTCACTTTTTTTTTAGAAAGCAAGAACATGATTCTATGATAGTGTATGATAATCTATACTCATATATATATGTATATATGTATATGTATATGTGTGTGTGTGTATATATATATATACATATACATATATATATGTATATATATATATACACATACATAAACAATGAATATGAGCAACTAGGTGGTGCAGTGGATTAAGCACTAGGCCTAGAGTCAGGAAGACTAATCTTTCTGAGTTCAAATCTGGCCTCAGACACTTAATGGTTGTGTGACCATGGGCAAGTCACTTAACCCTATTTGCCTCAGTTTTCTCATATGTAAAATAAGCTGGAGAAAGAAATGACAAACCACTGTAGTATCTTTGCCAAGAAAACCCCAAGTGAGGTCACAAAGAGTCAGACACGGCTGAAACAACTCGACAACAACCAAAAAACCCAACGAACATAATACTTAAAATTTGTTTCACTCAAGTTCATTTTTGTCAAAAAATTAATCCCAGTCATTCTGTGACTTCAAGTTAAAGCGCGTTCATAGATGACATTGTTCTAAATTCAACTTTCTGTGTTATTTATTAAAGAAAAATTCAACTTGGCCCCCATCGCTTTATGATCTCCAGCTGATCAGTTAAGATTTGTCTTCTCTCCCCCATCTAAATCATGGTGGCTTACCATGCATAACTGATTGAGATGAGTCTGTTCGTTTTCATCCTACTGTTTATTTTTATTCCTTTTCACACATCATTGGCAGACCTAATCTGGCTGGGATCCCAATTGACTTTGCTATGTGGGTGCTGGGCACAATAACACAAAACCAAAGCAAAACTGTTGTCTGGCACTGAAGAGAGTAAAGATAGGAAAGAAGAGGAGGGAAAAAATCAACAATTTGATTTACATGAAGGGATTATGAGAAGAAGGTTATAGATTGAACAAATTCATGATGACTTGTACTATTCTTATCTCTGGGGGATGTTCTTCATGGATGTCACTATTTCTATAACATATATTTCTGTAACTGTCTGCTAAAGCCTTCTTTCTTCCCCCATTTCTGCCTAGAAGTCAAGCTTCCCATTTTTAATTGTTTTGGAGAAAGTTTGGGTTTATTTCTCCTTTCCACTGTAAAGCAGTTACTTGATAATTCAGATTGATTTCCTTTTCCAAGTGATCATTTGTTTGTATTCCTTCCATAGGCATAGTAATCGTTTTCATTCATAGACCTGAAAATCCCAGGTAACAGTCCAGGAAGAGTTTGCTTTCCTCCCAAGAAGAGTCCACCAAAGTACATCGTCTTGGGATCACTGTCTCTGTTTTTCCTGACCCGTTCTGTTTCTCTTCCTGCCTCCCCCAAATGTGGCTGCAATATGATGCCCCTCCTACCTCCACCTGCTATTTCTTTCCTGACTGTCAGGGTGATTATACAGTCATGAGTAATCATGGTCTATCTCCCAGGAGTTTCAGCAAACATCAGAGATACTTTGAATCATCCCATAGACCTTAGCTTAGTTGTGATGGTGACATACTGAAAGCATCCTTGAGCCAGCAGACAGAAAAGAGATAAGAACTGTGTTCTGTGCTCTGACAGTCTAACTACAAAGGTAGATCTGATTTTTTTTTCTGTTTTTTTTTTTCAGGATCTACTTCAGCATTTTATTTTCTTTCCATTCTCTGTGACAGATCTCAGCATTTGGGGGGTGGGGGTGGGAAATGGTGGTGAAGGAAAGATATGGCTTACTGATAGCTAGATATCCCAGTGGATAGAGCTCTAGGCCTGGAGTCAAGAGACCTTAGTTTAAATTGGCCACAGATACTTCCTAACTGTGTGGCACATGGCAAGTCTCTCAAATTATGTTTGCCTCAGTTTCCTCACCTGAAAAATGAAGGTAGAGTACCTACCTCCCAGGGTTGTTGGGAGGATCAAATGAGATAATATCATCAAAGCGCCTGGCACATAGTATGCACTATAAACTGTTTCTAGTCAGCAGTAACATAAGCTCGGAAGTTTTGTGTCCCAGGATGGAATGCTTTCTCTTCCTAGTAACATGTCCACTAACCAGAATAAGAAATGTGTGTTTGTGCATCCCACAGCATGGTGCTGTGGGAAGAGAACCAGATTTACAGTAAGAGAACCTAGATGTAAATCTTGCCTCTGTCTCTCACTTCCTATGTGACTTTAGGCAAGCCACTTCCTGCCTCTGGACCTCAGTTTTTTCATCTGTAAAATGAAACTGTTGTACTAAATGGCCTCTGAGGTCCATTGGAGCTTTGTATCTATGATTCTAAGATTCTTTACCCCCTATAGGTATCAGTTTCCTCCTCACTTAAATGAGGGTAGTGGACAATATGGCTTCTGAGCTCTCTTCCAGGTCTAAATCTAATCCTATAATCTTACTCTTAGTAGATTGCTGCTGTCATGGATTGTGTTGATTTCAAAATATAGTGCCAGGTCACTGAAAGAAGTCCAGTGTCATCTTATATACCATTGGGCTCCAGGGAGGGTCCAACTGAGTGCTCACAGCCCCATCCCCAAGCCTTTAGGAGAACACAATGGAGATGGCAACAGCAGGAAGCTGAAACAATCTGAGTTTTGCAACTTCCTGTCCCCGGCTTTGTAGGAATGTTGTTTCATCTCCTTCTTAGAAAAGGAAGAGAGCAACTTAACCATCTCTGCTCTGCCAGTAGTTACCAAGAACTTTGTGAGATTAAAGAGAGTGATTGATATACTCAAGGACAGCTCTGTAGTCTTTGGATGAAACCCTAGGATGGGAATCAGAAGACAGATCTGATTTCTAGTTTTATCAGGACTATCCTCAGGCAAATTACTGTTAAATTCAATTTCCTTATCTGTAAAATGGGTATAGCAAATCTTTTCCACCTATCTATCATACCAAGAAATTATGAGGATGCTGTCTGTGAAGCTATTTGAGATCTCTGAGAGGGAAAAGATAAATACAAATTGATTTTTCCTAAAGTTAAACATTCTTCCCCCCCACCACCACCTTTGACTAGGTTGAGAGTTGAAATAAACATTTATGAGAAGCTGGTAGTGAGCTTTTTGTTTTGTTTGGATTGGTGAAAACAATGTAGACTCTTTCTCAGGGTGTCCTGATGACGGTGAACTAGTAATCATTCTTATGGAAAACTGTAAGATTAAGCAATGCTAATGTTGTTTGAAATACTGGGCTAGCCAAGCACTTTCTTTTCTCATGATTCAGAAGATATCACTATCAGTCTGCTGTTTAATCACTTTCTGATTAATGAGGATTGAAATTTTAGATCCTATAAACTGTTTCTAGTCAGCAGTAACATAAGCTCGGAAGTTTTGTGTCCCAGGATGGAATGCTTTCTCTTCCTAGTAACATGTCCACTAACCAGAATAAGAAATGTGTGTTTGTGCATCATGTATTCCTATCCCTTCTCTTTCACTGTTATGCCCTTCCTGGTCATCCTGTTTGCTTTGCATTCTTACTGGGATGCTAACCAACCAGAAACTTTATTTCTCCTTAAAGATATGAGAGGTCTGACTTACCTATAAATTGCCAGTCTTTGAAAAAAAAAACCTTGCATTTTTTTTAGTGCTAGCTAGTCATTTAAAGAGACACTGATTCAGAAAGTATTGAGGGATAGCTTACTTATTTGTTTTTGTGGACAAGAGCATTTTTAGTCATCAATAAGGGATTACTCTAACAACGAAGGATTATAAATTTGTGGTTAACATTTTTGCCTGAAATTTGGATCTCTGTCATTGGCATTTCTGAAATACTAGAAGTTCAGAACCCTGTTTGGTTAAACATGCCCCCAGAGGTGGCCTACTCTGATTCACCTGTTCATATGTAAAGGTGCAGAGATAGAAGAAAGAAATAGAAATGTCCATGAGAAGTCCCTCTAAAGCATTATTCCTCTTTTTTTTTTTTTTTGGTGAGGCGATCGGGGTATTCCCCTCTTTTTCTAATAAAACAGTGCTAGAGGTATCAGAAGTAGGGAATGGCATCTCCAGAGAAAGAACTGAGAGTCTGAATGCAGAACAAAGCATACTTTTTTTAAATTTTTCTCATTTTTTGTCATGTTTCACAACATGACTAATGTGGAATATATTTTGCATGACTGCACATGTATAACCTACATAAAATTGCTTGCCTTCTCAATGGGATTGGGGAGTAGAGGGGGGGGATTGGAAAGAATTTGGAAATCAAAATTTAAAAACTGTAAAAATGGTTTTTACATGCAACGGGGGGGAAATGAAATATGAAATCATTGGGAAAAAAAGAAATGGGGAATAGAACCTTTGGAGATAATCATTAGCATGTAGGCATGTCTATGTCTACCTATACATGCATACATTCAAACATAATAGAAAGGTACTAAAAGAAAAGAAAAAAACCTTTTCATTCAGCCCTTAGATTTATTAGATTTTTATTAGATGTATATTTTATTAGATGTATTAGATTTTTGCTAAGTAAATAACGGGCACCACACAACAAATGGAAAAGGAGAGTTAGAGATTTCTCACATTTCTTTTCTTCCTCTTTTTTCATTTAAATTCTATGAACATTCGCTTCAAAGAGTTATGCTGATGAAGACCCTCCCTATTTAATTTTGTCTGTCAGTTGCTGGCTCTCAGTTGGAAATAAGTGGGTGATGGAGAAGGAGGGTGGGTGAGAAGCATTGCATTAGGAGAAAACCAATTTTGTTTTAATTACTTACTGGCAAATAAATAATACTCTGATCTGCTCATCTTTTTAAAGGGAGAGCCAGGTTTCATTGGTCCGCAGGGAGAACCAGGGTTACCAGGGTTACCTGGAACAAAGGTAAGTAGATTCTCATTTCCTTGGCTTTTTTTGCAGAAGGAGGTGGGCAAAATGATTCACAGGGGAATGAAATAAATGAGACAATGTACCTCCCCCCTTCCTCCATTATATAAGCTGCTAAAGAGCTCTGTAGTCTAATGGCCAGGTAGGAGTGGAATTTTTAAGCAGAGTCAGGCAGCCACTAACTTCAGCAGAGAATATAACTCACCCTCATCATTGCGACTCCTTTGGAGTCAGAGGCTAGAAATAGTCCTTTCATAGATTCCACAAGCACCTGGGTACCTGAAAGAGACACTTTGAAGAGCAGAGAGATTCTCTAATATAAAATCTTCAATGGCTTGTCCCACGAGACAGCTCCAAAGAGTATGCTAAAAGCATTTATAAAAGCCTGCACGCCTAACATGTGAAAAATTATTTTGCTATTTATCAAGTCAGGATGAAGCTTCTTTTTTATCTTCTCAGGAGGAAACAAAAAAGCCCACGTGAGCTTAAAAGATAAGGATCTGAAATTTTAGTTTTACTTGTGACAGATACAAGTCCTAGATAAATCAAAGAGGGTAATGTTAGACCAAACAGCATTCTTTTATTTTTAAACAACTGCATCCTCTTCTATGTGTTGAATTCACTGAAAGTAAATGAGAGATGGTTTTAGATAGTCAGGTCTGGGTGTTCATTAACCATCCCTGGAAGAAAAGCCCTGAATGTATCAGTCTGTAGATGGAGGACCCCATCCTCTCTGGAGAAGGGCAGACCACCTCTCTTCTTATCAGTGGAAGTGATGTGTGTGGCCTGTCAGAGGCAACCAATTCACTTTGCTTTACATGAATGCTGGAACACAGCCAGCGTATGCAGATTTGGGGTGTTCTCATGCACTTTTCATGCAGTAAGGTGTCCAAGTACACGTAGCACCTATTTTAACCTGGGCAGATTTTAGCAAGTAATCTCTTCACCTCCCGCCCTTTTCATTCCCCAACTGCTACTAGAATTCGTGGTCCTCATCGTCCTTTTTCTGGATGACAAGCAACGATTTCTATCGACCAGGTCACAGATCAAAGGAGCATAGGTTCAGAGCTCTGAGGAATCTCAGGGGTCATGTAGTTCACCCTCTTCATTTTACAGATGAGGAAACTGAGGCCCAGGAAGGCAGAAGTGACTTTCCCAAACATATTGTAGCAAATGGTAGAGGAAGAAACTGAACCTGTCAGTATGAAAAAAATCTAGAGCCTGAAGAGGCCTGAAGAGGCTATGTGGTCCAACCCCCTTACTTTAGGAGAGGTTATGAGATAGTACCATGGATATGGAGTCAGAAAGCCTGAGTTCAAATCTGACCTCAGATGCTTCCTAGTTATGTGACCCTGGCAAATCAGTTAACTTCTGTCTGCCTCAGTTTCTTCATTTGTATAATGAGGATAATGATACTACTGCCCAGAGTGATTACAAGGATATAATGACATAAATGTGTAACGTGCTTTATAAACATTAAAGTGCTACATACATGCTACTCATTTTGTTGTCCTCATTACTAGTGCCCAGGAAGACCAAATATCTTGCCTAAAGTCACTTAGATTTGTACGTAACAAAGCCAAGATTTGAATACAGGTTTCCCTGCCACCATTCAACAGTTCAGTTCATCAAATATTCATCAAATGCCTGCTCTGGCCAAGTTACTGCCTTTTTCTGGTTCAGTCATTCAGTCATATCTGACTCTTTGTGACCCTATGGACCATAACATGCTGTTACTGTCCGTATGGTTTTTTGGGCAAAAATACTGGAGTAGTTTTTCATTTTTCCTTCTCCAGTGGATGAAGGCAAACAGAGGTTAAGTGACTTGTCCCGGTTCACAAAACCAGGAAGTGTCTGAGGCCAACTTTGAACTCAGGTCTTCCTGATTCTAGGCCCACCTCTCTATCCACTAAGCCTCGTAGCTGTCCCAGTTGTTATTCTAGGCCCTTCCAATTCCTCATTCTCCCATTCTCTATAGTACACCATCACCAGATTGATCTTCCTAAAATACTGATTTTATCATATAGGGAGGATTTTATTAGGTGATCTCTAAAGTCCCCTCCCACTCAAAATTCTAGTGTCCTATTCAATTCAATAAGCATTATTAAGTGCCTTCAATCTGTACTGCAAGGCACTAGGTGCTGGGAATACAAAGATGAGACATTTGGCTTGACTCTAAGAAGCCTATAATCAATGGATTACAACATGCATGCCAATGTTATAAGCCAGAATTTGGTTAAATGTAAAGAGAAGGTACAAAGTGCTATGAGAATTCTAAGAATGGAACAATTTCCAGCTGATAATGAAAGCTTCACAAAAGAGGTACCCCTGAATTGGGTCTTAAAGGAAGAAAATAGCTTTCAATAGGTAGAGATGGGGCAAGGGGGGGCATTGATTCTGTGCATGGAAACGGAAACAAGAATGGAGAATAATCCAGTTTATTTGGCTGGAACACAGGGTAGATGAAGGGGTGTAGTATGAGGTAAGGTAGGTTGGAGCCAAATATGGAGGACTTTGAATGCCAGGTTGAGAATTTGTCCTTTATCCAGCAGACAATGGAGAATCACTAAAGGTCATGAAATATGGGAGTGATGTGATCAAGAAATGTGATAGGGAGATAGTGCTGATAATGGGGGATAGTAGATTAGAGTGGGGTGAGATTGGAGGAGAACAGTTAGGAAGCGATTGCAGTATTATGGACAGGAAGTTTACAAGGGCCTGAACTCCATTGGTTACAATGAGAATTGAGAGAGGCAGAATGATGGAAGAGATATTGTGGTAGGTGGGGCAGCTAGGTGGCACAGTGGATAGAGCACCAGCCCTGGAGTCAGGAGGACCTGAGTTCAGATCTGGTCTCAGACCAGAGACTTGACACTTACTAGCGGTGTGACCCTGGGCAAGTCACTTAACCCCAATTGCCTCACCAAAAAAAAAAAATCTTACCCTTCATTCAGAGATCAACTTGATCTCTTTGACTTCCCTGAGTTCCCCAGCCTCCACTGGTTCTCTCCCTCCCCGTAGCATATACTGTTTATTCTGAGAGTGTGCCTTTAATTAAGTATTCCCTGGCATTGTTGCTTCTCTGCCTCATATCTGTAGGTCTAGTCTTCCCTACTTGATTGTAAACTCCTAGAGAGGCAGGTCCCCATTTTTAAACTTCTCAGGTATTCTCTCTTTGACATTTAGCACAGTGCTAGCTAAGCACACAGTAGGTATCTTTAACATGCCACATGAATAAAGGCCTTGACTATTCTAACTAGAGACAGAATCACAGACAGTACAAATGCATCAAGCATCTTTTAAAGCCACTCTCTTAAGGTCTTTTTCGTTGTTGTTGGGGGAGTTGCTAGCAGGGAGTCAAGACTTCATGTGTTTTGGAAACTACTCATTAGGAAACTCCCTCTCCTGATAAAAACAGACAATCCATTCTGCAATTTAGAGAGTAGCCTGCATCTCTGTGCAATTAGGTGGCTTGTCCAAAGTCACACAGCCAATATATGTTGTAGGCGGGGTCTTCCTGATTTCTAGGCAGGCTTTCTAATGCTTCATCATCATCATCATCATCATCATCATCATCATCAAGTCTGTGGAGTTTAAAGCCATCAGGTTCCAATTTAGACCTGATGGTTTGCTGACACAAGTCCATAAAAACTTTTGTTCTAAGATATTTTGTTCATTTTAGGCAGTTAGGTGGATAAAAAGTAGTACTGGAATTCAGAAAGGCCCGTACCTCACTTATTATCTATATGACTCAGGGTAAGTTGCTTTCCCTGTCTGACTCAGTTTCCTCCTCTATAAAATGGATACAACATTTACCTCATGGGGTTGTTATGAGGTTTAAATAAGCTAACACATACAAAAACCTTTTTGAAGTGCTATATAAATGCTGGCTATTATTTTTAAATAGTGTATGGATTGTATTGGGTTTATATCACCACATCCTTCATCACTAAGGTTGTAGGGATTTTTTTTTCCCCATCAGTAACCTGGACTGACTACCTACTATCCCTAGCTTAGCAGGAAATCCATTTACTGACCAGCAGTTGAGAACAAGATGATGGGATCCAAAAATAAATAAATTCCATATCTTTCCTGTATGCCATAAGTTTACTTGGAGAAAACATTTTCAGTAGATAACTATCAGAATCAAAGTCATTGGAGTTTTTTTGGTTTTTTTTTTCAAATTGGCCCATTTTTTGGGCTCTACTATGTTTCCTCTCTATGCCCCCAAACCTGTTATTCTGTAATGATGAATATTGGCATTTTGTCACTTGTATATGATGTGATCTGTGACAGGGTGAACGTGGAGAAGCCGGGTCTCCTGGGAGAGGTGAGCGAGGTGAACCTGGAGCTCCTGGACCCAAGGTCAGTTGTCTTTGCCCTGTGAAATGTTATTCATTGGTCTGAAAATGTGTACCACCTGCTTCAGACCAGGAAACGAAAATAAAGCTCAACAGGTGTTGAAGGGACCTACAAACTCCCAAATAGTTTCTGAAATGAGTGCATACTGGGTCTTTTCCAAATGGGATTGATTCTATAACTTCACTTTTCCAACTTGATTTACTCTGTTTACTCTCTTATCTTGATTAACCAAGTCCATTGAGATGGGCATAAGAAGACGAGGGAGATAACGTAGCAAAATCTTCCTCCTGGATGTGTTTAAAACTTTCTGGGGAAATATAAAGTCTCTGCTTATTTGTATTGTATGATGGTGAATAACACCTTGAAAATATTAGAGTAAAAAGATTCATTTGACTGATCTTTATTCTGCTAAACTTTCCTGGCAGCTAATGTGGTAACACTTTATTTTAATTGCCCATCCTACTGACACAGGAAATAATTTACTCTTTGAAGAATAGGAAATTTATGTAGACAAACCCTATTAAGACTAATGAGAATTATTCATGTAAATCCTCCCCTTGTTTTGATGAATCATCATGGAACGGCTAGGTTGGTGGGAAGACATGGGACCCAGGAACCATCCTGGTTTCCTTGTGTTTATGGTTATATACCCTGCTGGATATATACCTATCCCTAGTATTGGGGCAGCTAAGATAAAAGGTTGTTCACCATTCTGCGTTATTTTTAATCACAGCTAATTCATTTCTCTGTTCTTAACTTTGCTTGCCATTTTCTCTTTTCCACCATCGTGCCCTCCTTATATCAGGGGAAACAAGGTGAATCAGGAGCTAGAGGTCCCAAAGGGTCAAAGGTCAGTAACAACACTTCAGTACTTTCTACCAACACTACCCTTCTCCCCTCTTCTCTCTGTCTCTGTGTCTTTCTCTGTCTCTCTCCAAGCAAAAATGCGTAGAATTTGGAGAATTTAATTTTTACAAAGAGCCTTATTTTCACACTAACTCACATGCTGCCATTACTATTAATGCCTCCTCATTCTGCCACCTTAACACAATTGGACTTTGTTTCATCTCAGTCTATTTTTTCAGGGTGGTTACTGCTTTTTCTTCTTGTTTGTAAATTTGTTTCTAGGCTGTTTTCTTTAGGTGAGGTTGAATTTCCATTTTTTTTATCAAATAAAATTGAATTCATTAAACAAAGAAAAAAGCTAGGTGTTTTTCTCCCCGGTGGAATCATGGAATGATGCACATCACGTGTTTTGTAAAGGCCTCTCATGTGCCTTAAATTTCAGTAAGGGTGAGTGCCTGTTCCTTCAGTGAGTATTTTGCCAGATGAAATGTTTCCCCTACCACACAAGCAGTGCCTTTTGTAAATAAATAAATAAAAGTCCGTGGAGAACCTACTCAATATTCATTGGAACTTGCCATTCATCAGGGTTGTTTACTCACAAACCTGCAATTGAGTGACAGGATGGGGGAAAACAGAAGGCAAGAGGTGGTAGCTCTCCAAAACTCAGTCAGTGTGATCACTGTGGTCCTTGCTATTAAGTATCATGACATTACAAAGGATTCTGAAGGCCAGAATCACTCAGTTTCAGGTGGATGAATGACAGTGTTGCAAATGAAGTCTCTAAGGAAGAAAAAATATGGGCGGATTTTGCAAAAATTCCTGTGAGAAGTTTCTGACTGGCACATTGAATTTTAAAAATGTTTATAGAAAGATTGCTATATTGTAGATAAATTTAAAAGGGTATGTGCATATATGTATTATATCTGTGTGTGTGTGTATATATATATATATATATAAAATTATCATTTATATATTTAAATGATTTCTAATCCCCAGTGGGTTGGTTTCTTTTACAAAGTGAGATGTTCTGTTATTACTGACTAAATTGTGTGTGCCAATTGCAGTCAAAATGTTATAAGTTTCAATTACTGACTATTTTTTTCCAAGAATGAGGAATTTATTTTTTGCTTTGTTTTCCCTGGGCAATAGGGTGATCATGGAGACAAAGGTGACTCTGGAGCTCTGGGACCAAGGGTAAGTGTGCCCGCCATCTTGCATTGCTACTGTTAGCCTATATACAAGGTATATAGCCTATATACAAGGTAGAATTTGAAATATCTACTTGGAATGTTGTGATGCACACACGCACACACACACACACACACACACATATACATATTTATGCATAAACATAGTGGTAGCATCCATATATATATATATACATACACACATATATATACACATACATACACACATCCATATATAGATATACACACATATATACACATATATGTATGTGTGGATATGTATATATGGGAATGCTACCACTATGTTTATGTATATATATGTATACATATGTATATACACACACATATATTATATATAATGTATAATGTATATTTTGTACATATGGAGAGAGGGACAGAGAGAGAGAGAAAGACAAAGAAAGAGAGAAAGAAAGAAAGAGAGAGAGCGCACAAGGGGTAGGGTCCACTGTAACTATTGCTGTCACCACTGTTGGCCCAACCAACAGGTTCATTCTCTCCTTTACGGTCCTAACGGAAGAGAGTAAAAAGTATGTAAGCGGTAATAAACAAACCTAGCTCCAAGACAGGAAGATCTTAAAATTCCCTATCTATTTTTCACTCTGTTCAGTCTCAACAACTACCCTATGATCATCTGTCTATAATGTCCATTAGGCTGTTAATTCAGTAATAAAAATAGACATCAACCCATGAACCTTGGGCTTAAATGAAATCAGGGAATTGGTAGAGGCCTAATGGGGATTAAAGACTGTCAGCCTAAGAACTAGCAGAAAGAAGTCGGAAGAGAAGCAGCCTGGTGAAACAGATGAGCTCTGGACTTGGAATCAGGAAGACCTGGGCAAGACAACCTCAGGCACTTACTAGTTGTGTGGCCCTGGGCAAAATACTTAACCTTTCTGGGCCTCACTCTCTCCATCTGTACAATAAAGAAGTTAAACTCCAAGATTTCTAAGGTTCCTTTCAGCTTTAAGTCTGTGAGACTATGAAAAAGATTTCATAAACAACATTTTCCTTTCTATCCCCTATTTGTGCTTTGTGCATCACAGACAAATTAAATATGTCAGCTTTAATTAAATAGTATTGCTTGTTTTTAAATGGAGCCTATACTTGTGGGCAACTCAAAAATTCTTTGCTGCTGAGAGATGCTTTGTTCTCTTAAAGTCAAGAGATTAGAAGCAGTCTATAAAATGAATATGAAGAAAAAGGAATGACTTGGGTAAATAGAGATAAATCCAGTGCAAATGTTGACATCTCATTTTAATTTTTATTCTAATAACTATTAGAAACTCTTTGCAAAGTTAAATTTCTTCTATCTCACCTCTGAGGAAGTCCATGTCTTCTGTATGTACCTCAAGGAAGCTAGAAGTTGCCTAACTTCATGAAGAGAACAAAATTTGGCCATACCTGTTTGTCTTGAAAGGGCAAACACAAAGATATGGTTTGGGGGCTGATTGGGTGGGAGGCTCAGAAGTGGTGGGGGGAGCAGTTCTGAAAGTACAAGAGTATTGTTGGTATATACTTTTCAATGAGCAAATTCTTCTTAATATATTCATAGGGTCCTCCTGGGCAAAAGGGAGATCCAGGAGCAACAGAAATCATAGACTACAATGGCAATATTCATGAGGCCTTGCAGGTAGGTGAACATTTCCTTCTACAAAAAAGAGAAACATATTTTGGTTCAAACTCTTTTAGTTTCTTGCCTTTCATAAATATATGAAAGTCTCAGTCTCAGAGGGAAAGAATCCTTTCCCATTTCCTAAAGTAAATCACTTGATTCCATCCCTCAGACCCTTGCCCCCATGATTATCACTCACTTCATCACAGTGCCCTTCCCTTTCACCTTTCAATATGCTTGAATCTCTTTACTTTTAACTGCTGCCGCTTTCAGCTACTGCAAAATCTTTGCCCATTCTTCCCCTGCCAAAGCTTTGAAAATATGGGCTTCTTTCACTACATTCCTTGCATAAGCACCCACTCTCTTCTTAACTCTGTCTTTCATCACTACCATAGCACTGAAATGGTTCCATCAAGGTCTACCAATGACCCCCTTCTCACCAAAGCCATGAACTTTTCTCACTACCTACCTTCCCTGACCTTTCAATGGCATTTCATAATGAACAAGCATTCTGATAGCTTTCTTTCTTTTCTTTCTTCTTTGGCTTCTTTCTTTCTTCCTTGGCTTCTATGACACTATGCTTTCCTGATTCTCCTCCTGCCTCTCAAATTAATGCTTCATCTGCTTTGCTCTGCTTCTTCCTACCTACTAAATCTCTGGTTTTGAATTCTCTATTCTTCCTTCTCTCTCTAGATAGATTAGATAGATATATATAAACAGAGGTAGATATAGATACATGTATATGCATGTGTGTGCAGATCTAGGTATATACACATATATTCTTTCTCCATATTATTACCCTATTATCCTTTCTATAATATGTGGTTATGTTTCATATGCCTATGTGTGCATGTATATATTTTACATAAGCATGTATATATTTGTTTATATGTTCACACACATACCTTACCTGTGATTTTATCAGTAAAGGGAATTTCCTGTAAGAAAATTCTTTTATCAGTATAGATTAGCACCTACTCTTAGTCTTAAAAATTAAGCAATTTTCCCAGGAACTTGCCATCAGAAGCAGAACAGCAGCAACTGAACTCCAGTCTTTTTTTTTTTTTTTTGGCTAGGCAATAGGGTTAAATGACTTGCCCAGGATTACACAGCTAGTAAGTGTTATGTGTCTGAGGCCGGATTTGAACTCAGGTCCTCCTGAATCCAGGGCCGGTGCTCCATCCACTGCGCCACCTAGCTGCCCCCTGAACTCCAGTCTTGATAGCTCTAAGGCAGAAGTGACCTTTTGCTGCCTCTCTTACATTTAGATAAAATTGTTCATACACACACACACACACACACACACACACACACATAGAGAGAGAGAGAGAGAGAGAGAGAGAGAGGAAGGGAGGGGAAGAGAGGGAAAATATGTGGAACAGGGACTGGACATTTGATTTCATTTGTACAGGGAGCTCCTGGGTAAGAAAAATTCCTTTACTAATGCAGATCAACATCTTCTCTGAAACTTAGTCTCAGAGAGTTACCTAGAGCACTGAGAGGTTAAGTGACTTTATCTAGGGTCAGAGCCAGTGTGTGTCAGAGGCAGGACTTGAACTCAGGTCTTCCTGACTCTGAGGCTGGCTGTCTTTCCACTTTGTCACAGTGCCTCATGAAGACAATATATATATATATATATATATATATATATATATATATTATATATATATATATATATACACACACACACACACATACATATATACATACATACATACATATATATACATACATGCATATATATACACACACACACATATACATATACATATTTATATATGAAATAAGATTATGCACACACACATATACAAACATGCACACATGTATACATATATGGTGGGACAATATTGTAAAGAGACACACAAACCTCAGTGAGCTTATCCATTTTTGTGGCTTCAGTTCTCCCTTTTACAAATCCATATGTCTTGCCTTGACACTTGCTTCTATTCCAACCACATTTTTCCAACTGCCCACAGATCTTCTTCCACTCAGCTGTCCCGCTCCCATCTCAAATGCAAAGCACAGGACACTGAACTCATTGCCACCACTCTCCCCTCATTAAAAACCCAGGTCTCCCTTTCTACCTCATTTCTATTAGTAACACTACTGGATTATTCTTCCAGTCTCCTGAGATAAAAACCTTGGACTCCTCTTTGCTTCTTCCCTATCCTACATCCCTCATTTCTAATTCATCACCAAATCCTTTCATTTCTTTCTTCAAAGAGTTTCTTGAAGTCCCTCCCCGTTCTCCCAGTTCAAACTCTGATCATCCCAGGTGTATTACTTGAGAAAATTAGCTGATCTTGCTTTCAGTCTCTCCTCCTCCATTTCATTCTGCCCAACTAATCTTCCTAAAATGGGACTTTGAAAATGTGACTTTCCTGCTCAAGAACCCACAGTGTCTTACTGTTACCTACCGCATTGTGTGCAAACTTTCCTATCTGGTTTTAAGACCTTCCATAATCTTCGCCACATCCCTCCAGAAATCCTACCTAGTACACTACATTTCTCCCTTCTTTCCAACATACACCCTACTTGCAAGTCAGATCACCGTCCATCCTGTCTCCCATAAATGCGGTGTCAATTCCCACCACTTCTGTGTATTCGCTTCTGCCCTTCTTTCCTCCTACCTTTCATTTGTATGAATCCTATTCGTCCTTCAAAGTCAAGTTAATGTCCCCTCTCTTCCTTGAGGTCTTGCTTACTCTAGCCCATACTGACTTCCATTCCTTCTCTGCCCTTAGAGTGACCATGTGATTTAACACTTAATTGTTCCCTAGCTGTTGAATGTAAATCGTGTCTCTTTTCCTCACACACTAGTCTTAGGCATATGTGAGGGTTTCAAAATTCTATGATTTGAGGGGCAGCTAGGTGGCACAATGGATAGAACACTGGTTCTGGAGTTATGAGAACCTGAGTTCGGATCTGGCCTCAGACACTTGATACTTACTAGCTGTGTGACCCTGGGCAAGTCACTTAACTTCATTGCCTAACAAAAAACAAACAAAAATTCTCATGATTTGAGTGAATCACCAAATGCACAGTGACTCTAGCAATAGCCTTCTCTGCTTGAAGCTTGACTCAATTTTGTCTTGCCCTGCTAATTTATTACTTTCTACGTTAGCAAATTTGTGAGCACATGACTTTACTCACATTACCTAGCAAGATAAGAAAAAGACCTAGAAGTTTTACTGCTCATGTAACTGATTTTAACTAATAAAACATTAGTAGACCTTGCAGAGACATCTGTTCCTTAGTTCAGGAACACCTCATTTTCTTTAGCTTTAAAAAAAAAACATTTTCTCTTTGTTCTGTATCTGAAAAATACAAAGGGAAATATGCTTAAGATTTGGTAAAGTGTTGCTTTAGAATGTTAGTATGCAGTATATACAATCAATTTGATTTAGGAGCCCAAAGAGCAAGGAGATTAGATATAAGCATCAGCCCTGTTGTTACCAAGCTCCAGTTTCCTGATTTTATTTCCCTCTACATACATGTATATGTATATCTGCAGTGTGTTTGTAGTGTAAAATGGCTGTATTATTTATTAATTATTGATTGAGAACTGTATCTAATTATAAGGTTTGGTCACTGATCAGACATGTGGGATGAGAGAAAGAAGCTAAGGGCATTGAGGTTATGAACCTCAGTGACCAGAGGATGGTGGTGTCCTTGATAGTAATAGGAAAATTCAGAAGAATGGAAACATGATGAGTTTGACATGCCTATGGAACACTGAGTTCAAAATGTCCAACAGGTATTTAGTTGGTGATGTGGGACAGGAGATCAGGAGAGAGACTGGGGCTGAATAATAAATAGGTCTGCATAGAGATTATAATTGAACCCACAGAAGCTGATGAGATCACCAAGTGAAAGAGTACAGAGAGAAAAAGAGAGAGGGCCTAGGACAGAGTCTTAGGGGACACCCAAAGTTAGTGTGCAAAACCTGAATGAAGATGTGGCAAAAGAGACTGAGGAGTGGTCAGATAGGTAGAAGGAAAAACAAGAGAGCAGAGTCATGAAAACCATAGATGGAAAATGATTAAATAGGGCCAAACGTTTCAGAGAGGTCAAGAATGATATTGGGGCAGCTAGGAGGCACAGTGCATAGAGTTCTGGGTCTGGAGTCAGAAAGACCTGTGTTCAAATCCAACCTTAGACATTTACTATCTCTGTGACCCCAGGTAAGTTTCTTAACCTCTATTTGCCTCAGTTTCCTCAACTGTCAAATGAGGATAATGATAGCACCTACTTCCCAGGGTTATTGTGAGGATTAAATTAGTACTTGGCATATAGTAAGCACTATACGAATGTTAGCTATCATTATTTCTTTCAGCCTTTACCACAGTGCCTGGCACATACTAGGTGCTTAATAAGTGTTTATTGATTGATTGAGGAATGAGAAAATATCATTCATTTTGGCAGTTATAAGACTGCTGGTAATTTTGGAGAGAGTGATTTCAGCTGAATGATGAGGTCAAATTATACGATGTTTTGGTGTTTTGTTTTTGTTTTTGTTTCTTAGGATGCAAGAGATTCGGTTATGTTTGTAGGCATCTAGGAAGGAGGAAGGAAATAGGAAAGGACTGAAAATTAGAGGGTAAGGCTAATGTCAGGAATAATCTGCTAGAGAAGGCAGGAAGGATGAGATCAAGGGTACATGTCAAAGGTTTGCCTTGGCTCCTCTATGCACACTCAGAGACTGAAGAGAAGGAGGAAACATTGAAAAATTATAACATCAGAGGAATGTGAGCCACTTGAATGAATGAAGAGAGTGCATTTCAGTCATAGGGAATAGCTTGTGCTAATTCAGAGGTGGGAAATGAAATATTAATTTCAGGAACTGCTAAGAGTTCAGGTTGGCTAGAACATAATGCCCTCTGCCTCCTTTTTCACTGCTCCCTTACTAACACAAAATGGAGGTTAATTTTTATTTGTAGCTATTGCAGGGCTTAGCATGGCCAACAATTATATTTGTTGGCCAATCTGCTGGCAGTTAGACTCTTCATGCATAGCTAAGTTGGTCCTCGGATAGCAGCCCAGCACTCTGGACCATAATTCAAGTCTTTCTAGCTTGGTATAAATGTCCACAGTTTTTGTTTGATTGTCATAACCTTTGTCAGAGAAGGCATTTAAGCTGAGCCTTGGCAGTGATTAAGAGTTCTAGCTAGCCTGTGTAAGCAACAGAGGCACAAGATGGCACAGAAAACAGCAAAATACTTGTGGTGATTTTATATGACTGTGTATCAAAGAAGGAAAATTGGGGTTATCCAAAGGACAATGGAGAGAGATGTAATGGAGGTAAAGTAGAATCCAACCTATTTCCAGCAATGTCTTGCATGCACAAAGATGCTCATACCATCAAAGACACGTATGACTAGAAAAGGACATGACAAGAGTGAGGGTAACAGATGGCACCCTGGTATTTTGGGAATGCTAAAAGACCTAGAAGAACACTAATATGTTGGATATCTCCTCCACAGAGAATTTATAGAAAGATTTAAAAAAGAATTTCGGGCATGAATAGGTTACAATTTACACACATAAGTGAAGAGTGTAACATCACATGTCCTTCAAAGGCAAGTAGGATAGAAGATTAGAATGCTTGGAATCAGACCTGAGTTTGAATCCTGTTTCAGACATTCCCTAGCTGTGTGATCATGGGCAAATCATTTAACATCTCTGTGCCTCAGTTTTCTCATCTGTAAAATAGGAATAAAAATAGCACCTCTCTTAGAGTTGTTGTAAGGATCAAATGGGTCCATATGTACAACACTGAACAAACCTTAAGGCACTATGTAAATGCTAGCTATTTTTGAATAATGTACAAGATATGGTATATTTATAAGGTACCACATTGATAATATAAAACCAAATGATTATACATCATTTCATTCCATAGCCTGTACTCCATAAGACATTTGTTTTCATTTTAATTTGCCAGGCAGTTAAGTTTTGAGCAATTAGCAATAAAAAAAAAACCCTCTGCTTCCTAACGTAAGCTTTAATATTTCTCATAAACTGTACCTCTTCTTCAGGTGTAAGGCAGAATCAGTGATAGGTAATTTCAATCTGGCATCATTATGGGACACAGGGGACAAAACAGCCTTTGATTCTAAAGGGCTTCACGCGGGAGTTCTTGGGGAATAAATTACTGAACAGCCTGGCTGGCTCAAACCAATTTATATTTGCTGTAGTTCATGCTTCCCATTTCATTTCATGTCTCACTGGAGAGAACAAGACTTCTTATTCTATCACCACTGAAAGCCATGGTTTTCAAATTACTACCAGAGTTCAAGAGAGAACCCTGCTGGGTTTATGTATCTTCAACTTTACAGGACTAGATACAAAATGTGTATTTGGTTGCAGGTGTTAGGATAGCACTGTGTGATTGCATGTGGGCACTTCCAGGTGACCATAAAAACAGCAGATCTGTGAAGCTGGCTTCATTGATAGTCATTTCTCCTGTAAGTTAGCAGGACAAACAGTAAATGCCCTGCATAAGTTTCAAGCCTATTGAAGACCATGGAAACTTAACTATATTGCTGTTTTAAAGGCAATCTGTTAGCTATTTCAGTTGTTAGCATCAGCTTCTACAAGCAACAATTTCAGATTATCAGGTATATCATTCATTTGGCAACTCATAAAACTGTTCAAAAAAAGAAAAAAAATGCTGTCGTATTTATGAAAGGTAAGAAAAATAATTTCAAGTTTAGGTAGAAAATGTGATTTATATGTGCTATCTGTTCATCTGCTTGGTTTTGTTTAAATATTACTAAAGGCAGATGGACTATATTATTTCTCCTCACCACTCTCTGGTTTTGATTCTGTTTTCCTGTTTAAAAGTAACATTTTAAAGGATGGTCTCTCTCCCTCTCATTTTCTTTTTTTGTTTTTGTTTTTGTTTTTTTTGGTGAGGCAAGTAGGGTTAAGTGACTTGCCCAGGGTCACACAGCTAAAGTATCAAGTGTCTGAGGCTAGGTTTGAACTCAGGTCCTCCTGACTCCAAGGCCAGAGCTCTATCAACTGCGCCACCTAGCTGCCCCTCTCTTTCATTTTCTAATTGCTTCTTTGAAACAAACAAAAAATAGTCATTTAAAATAAAGGAACTAAGAATTGTGCCCCTAGTATCTACAAAACCAGTCCAGGCAGTTCCTTCCTAGGTAACCTCTTCCAGAATCATCAGCATTGTCCATTCCCATATTTGCTGGAATACTGTGTTTGTATGGGTTTTTTTTTAACTGAATTCTTAATTATAGACATTTTCTATCTTAGAGCTGTATAGTTTTAATCATCTGTCATGTTTGAGGCTGAAATGAACACAATCAATTTTATTGTAGAGATGATGTCACTGAGGGACTTGTTAGGGTTGTTTAATTAAGTACTACTTTGATGAATCTGAGATCTCACCAATGATTTTACTCCTTCCAGCAATGCAGACTCCAATCCATCCATCGCTCTCTCAACCTGCTTGACTCTTGTCCATAGCCTTACAGAAATTGCCCACGGAGGAGTCTTCCCAATGGCCCGATGGGTTTATTCTATATCCCTTTACACTGTCTAGATACCAACAAAGTATATGGGCTATTCCCCTCTCACTATGTGACTGGCCTACCCCTGTGCCACCTATAGTTCATTTGGATTGTATCTATAATTTCATTTGATAGGGAATCCGTGGCAATAAAATTTCCTATATAGTGATGTTTGTTCTACAACTTATCTGATGTATCCCAAAAATCTAAGTGCAATTTCAAGCCTTAATAACTTAAAATTGTAGTAAGACTTTTAGGACACCTTGTATTATTCTTAGAGAGGTGCCTGAGGGGTGGCACATCCAAAAAGTGTCAAAATCAGGCCTTGAACTCAGATCCTCATGATTCAAAGTTTGATTCTCTCTACCTATTACACCACAGCTATTTCCCAGTTAAACATCAAGATACAGAATAATATTGAGAATCAAATACCCAAATAAAGAAAGAGAATTTTAATTTTTTTTAAAAAAATGATATTTGTAAGTTCCTGCAATTCTGAGATGCAAATGGGAAATATGGGTCAGAGAAAGATTTTTTTTAAAATGACATTCACAAGTCCTCCAGATAAACACTAGGAAGAAACCCAAGGTCTCAGCAAAGTGTAAGATTCCAGGATGGATTTTTAAAATAATGAGAATCAATAGATCTTCTGGGTCCTCTAAGCCAGGGCTTTAGAGATGAAGAAATTCAGTTATTCTGATAGCAAGCAGAACCACTGAAGAGTTTTCTCCCAAGTGGTTTTCTTCAGAACTTTTGATGAGGTAGCAGACTCAATAAAGCTATTACAGGAAACAGTCAATCCTCTTGCAGTTGTGATTTGCAGGCTTAAATATTCACAGTGAGGCATGCCAATCCACGCTTCCTCCTCAAATAGCATAATTATGCTTTGTTACTGTACTCTCTCCATACTATTATAATCAGTATGGGGCAGCTTTACACTATTAATTCACACCCTTAATCAAGATACCCAAAAGGCCCAAGAGGAGAGAAAATGGGCATTGATGATCATTATAATATAGTGCAAATGGAATTCCCAATTGCAAGATTCTCTAGAAAGAAACTCAGTAAATGGCAAGGTTCTCTTACACTGGTGACAGCAAACTTCCATACTACATATGAAATAACCAGTGATCCCCTGTACCTGAAACACACACAACTTTCTCATTTTGAATATTTTTTGGTTCTAAACCACAATTTTCATCAGTATAGGATTCTTTTTGCCAAAGCATGTTGACCACTATTCTTAGAAAGTACCTAGGTACACTTCTAAAAGGTTAAGTGACATATTCAGGGTCACACACTATGTGTCAGAGGAAGGATCTGATGGCAAGGATTTTTATTCCTTTTTCTCACTGTACACTGTCCCTTCTCCATAGTCCTGCTGGCTTTTCACATGTAACTATTTCCCTTGATTTTAATTTTTGTTATTTAAAATTTTTTTTAAATTTTTATTATTTTTTTCTAATGGGAGAGATAACATCTGTATGAATTAGTACATTAAGATAAATCTAGGGTGTTCTAAAAGTTTTGGTGCAGTTTTTGAGCTACTAAAACATAAAACTGAATAGAGTAGGGGAAAAGGAGTGGATTGTTAAAAGACTGAAAAGATTAGCATTTGGTTGTGAATAGCTTTTAATGCCAAACAAGTGACTTTGTATTTTATTCTAGAAGTAATAAGGAGCCATTGGAATTTATTGAGTTTGGGGGAGGGGCATGAATTGATCAGACCTATATTTGAGGAAAATCACTAGCAGCTGTGAGGAGGATTGATGTAAAGAGAAACTTGAAGTAGGGAGACCAAGTGGGAGTCTACTGCAATACTTCAGATGAAAGGTGATGAGAGCCTGAACTGGAGTGGTAACTGTATCATAAGGGGGATAAATGTGAGAGATGTTGAAATTACAAGACTTGGGAACAGACTGTATATGTGTGAATGAGACTAAGGAATTGAAGGTGATACCAAGGTTTTGCAAGCACGGGTGATTGTGAGAATGGTGATGCCCTCAACAGTAATAGGGAAATTCATAAAGGGATGAATTTGGGAGGGGAAAATGGTGAGTGCTGTTTTGGAGATGTTGAGTTTGAGATGTCTACTCATCCAGTTTGAAATGTCTGATAGACAGTTGGTGATGCAGGACATACTCATCTTTCTGTACATCCTCAGAAGAGTTCATTATTAAGCAAATGTAGTAGTATATTTCTGTGTGCCATATTGGTAACATTGTCTTTTGTCGATACATTTTTCCAACAGAGGATTACTACTTTAACTGTCACGGTAATTCCTATTGCATGTTTTCCTCCAGTTCATAAATGTGTCTCTTCTGTGTGGCTGCATGTTGGTTATAATGGTACTCCTTTATTATTCTTGTTTCCGATATTTATCTCTGGGTTTCCTCATGGTGATAAACTCCTACATCATGCTAGCCCTGGTTGAATTATACTAGGTTCTATCTTATGGCAGGAAAAAAAAGTCTCTTTCACCTTATAAAAGAAAACATGGCTAAAACATGGAGATTATATTATGAGATGAAGCCAGTGGAAACTTATTATTAAATATCACAGCTATGGCCTTAAATGTTCATAAAATCTGGCTTACGGGGAGGGAACATCCAGAAAAGTAAATATTTATAGGCTGAGTGTCTTAAAACAATGAATCCAGGGCCTAGAGGGAAACCTCCATTGCCAAAGAATTCCCGTTGCTACTTTGACCTAAATGTTTGTGTTTATCATTAACATATGAAATTATAGAGTTCTCCTAACTTAGTGATCTGTTATGCCCTGTAGGATTATTCCAAGCTGTAAATCAGATTTTATCACAATCATTGTTTTTGTGTGTAATGTTTGTGTATTAGCTGTTTTCTGGAGTTGTTTGGTACCTAATCCTGCTCTCGTTTTTTGACATCTATGTTTCTTTCTTGATTTAGGGACCCCCAGGACCTCCGGGACCACAAGGATTGCAGGGACCAAAGGTTATCTTTTATTTTACTTGTTTCCGTTAGCAGTATGTACATGCATCCATGCACAGTTCTCCACAGTAGACAGGATCCTTGAAGGTCAGCAGTAGTTTCAGTGGGAAAAACAGAGACAGAAACAAGGGGTGAAATTTAATCAATGAACTAAAGTAGGAATCTGACATTTTTTTAAAAAGTATCACTTCAATTCCGAACGTGCGGGATTCTGGTTGTCATTAAATTATTCGTGATCATTCAAACCACTTTGTGCATTTAAAGGCTCTCTACTTGCCATACTCTTCCATCATCAAGGGCACGATGCCATCTTTGTGTGTTTAAAAGCAGATTTGCCATGTGATTCAGTGCATGACTAGGGATGTTGTGAGGGTAGATAGGAAATATAAAGGCACTTTCAGCTGAATACCTTATGTCTGTTGGGTATACGGTTTCAAAAAGTTTTCATATGTTGCGTTAGAAGTAATGAAACAATTTGATGGTGCTTAGTAACCATTTCCACTTTGTAGTTCAACTAAATTGCAATCTATGTTGGTTTCATTCAGTATTTTGTTTCTTGGTGAAATAGTACTTTCTAAATTCTTGAATGTCAAATTACAAAATTCTGGTGAGTGAAGGGTCAATCATACATGTGAATTACATTTCCCGATAAACATATGGGATTAAATATTTAAAGGGATAAATGCTTAGAAAAATAATCATTATCCAGCCCAAAGTGACAGCACTGAGTGCTATTTAGTCAGTGAGCAAAACTAGGACCTGGCGAGTTCGCCTTGTTCCAGGATTCCGTGGCATTTGTGTTCAACTATACTTCGCTACTATAATAGAGAGAAAGAACTCCAAAATAAGAAAGCTCTTTTCTCTCCATATGGATTTCATATGTTCAATTTCATACCTTCCCAAATAAGCCCTGGAAAGCTTTAAAATTATGTTGTAGCCCACAAAACTCAGTTTTGTTTTCTTTTGTTTTTCAATCAATGAGAGCAACATTAGTCATTTCATGTTGTGGTTTCTTATTCCATCACACCAAATCCTTCTACAAAATACAAACTTGAGCCCACTTCCTTGAAAAATGGTCCGTTTGGCAGATCAATCAAGCTCTAAAAAGTTCACTTGTAGATAGTCCTACATAATTGTCATAGAATCTGATCCATAGCATTTAATAGATGATGTCTTGTGATATAGATTCAAATATACTCAGCACATCAAAACATCTCCCCTAAAACATAATAAATATGTATAGCCTATGAAATTGTTTTTCACATAAACACTATCTCTATAATAAATATTATCAGACCTTTCACAAAATCTGTTGGCTTATTGTCTTTCCAAATGAAATATGGCCAGATGTCTGTAAATTAAATAAACCTTGGTCTGGTGTTTGAGGCACAAGTTAATATTTTTAATAGCTTCAATTAAAATATATAAATCATTCTACTTGTAGCGTAAAGTAAATAAGAAATACCGTCATAATGTGAACTGTAAATAGTAGCTCCTTCCTAGCATGATGTAGGATATTAAATTTACCTAGAAGTAATTTGATAATCAGAAGCTCTTTGATTTATTGTGTTCTCCAATAATTATAACTCTTAAATAACAACATATTCACATCGGTTATCATTTTGCAATCAGTATTTGAAACAAGTGCCAGTTTTGGGAATGGTGGTGTCCTCTGATAGCTGCTACCAGGGAGGCTGAGGCTGGTGAATTGCTTGAGCTCTGAAGTTCTGAGCTGCAGTAGGCTAAGGGTACTGAGTTTAACACCAATATGGGCAAGGCCCCAGCGAAGGGGCAGTTATCTAAGGTAGGGAGAGCCAGCCTGGGTAGGAAACAGAGCAAGTAAGAGCTTCCATGCCTATGAGTTGCCATTGTTCTTCCAGCCTGGAGAAGAGAGGGACCTAGTCTCAAAACAAAGGAAAACTGTGCCAGTTAAAATAGAGCTGTAAATTCAAGGAACATTCATTGTTATGCTTTGGGAAAATGTCAGTGCTTGACTTTGTTCCAAGCCTGGGTTACCAAGAGAGAGTACAGAGGATTTTGAAGTAAAAAAAGAAAACCCACAACTTAACTCAGGCTTATAGATTTTTGCTGCAGGGCATGGCCTGACCTGCCTTTAAATTGCCTTGATGAGTTTACTCTTACTGCAAATATTTAGCCTAGTTCTATTTTCACAAATGTAGCATTGGGTCTTAGCTACTTTATACAAGCACTGAAGTGAGTAATCTCGGAAAGCACTCACTTCCCAAGTTCGACATGTGTTATGATGTCAGAATTTCTTATTCGGTTCTGATTTGGATCATTCTAATTTATTTCATCTGATAGGTTAGAGTGTGTTGTTACTTAGCGAAGCAAATGATGAATGGAGACCAGGGAAACACTGTTTATTTTCCCTTTTTAACAGGGTGAGCCAGGATCTCCAGGAACACCAGGAGTTGATGGTGAACAGGTATATCCCAAGTATATCATCGATGCTGTTGCCTTTGCACCATTACTTCTATTGTTGTTATAAGACAGGAGTTTACGATCCATAAAACCTAGTCCATGACCATCACAGAGTTTGACAAGTGATTTGAAATTATTTCTTTTAGTCATAATTTTAAATTAATCATATTTTATTTTAAGATCATATTGATTTCAGAAAATATAACTTATTTGATGTTTTAACATTAAACATAATAATGGTTATAATCTGTAAATTATTTTATTTTTTGTGATAATAATTGGTCTTTATGTAGCACTTAAGTGTGCAAAAAAAACCCTTCATTGTATATGGAGTCATACAATTCTATGAGGCAGACAAGACAGTATTATTTTTATTGCCATTAACATATGAAGAAACCCCAGCTCAGAGAGATTAAATAACTTGTCTATAGTCACATAGCTAATAAGCGTCAGAAATGGTATTTGAAGTGAGGTCTTCTAACCACTACACCATGCTTCTTCTCTGTGATATCAATGTGACTTTGTACTTGTATAACAATTTTACATTAATGCTTTGGCCTCAACAACCTTATGAAATAGGCAGGCCTTGGATCAAAGTGAAAAAGACAATAACTTATCAAGATTTAGATGCCATATCATTTGAACAAACCCTTTTCATTCAGTAACAAATTAAGGAAAAAATGATTTTTTTAGATGCTCTGTGCCAATGTATCATTGTACTGGGTACCATTTGCAGACCTATATTGGTCTCTTTTAACAATGATGTTCATAATATGTTATATATAAGTCATATAGTCTTTGAGCTGAGTGAAATTGTGAAATTATCTAGTCCCTCTTCTTTATTTTTTAGCATGGATGGAACATGGAACTTGTGGACATGAAGCAGAGAGGGAGGAAAAGGAGTTGTCCCAGGTCACAAAGCTCATTGGTAGAACCCAGGTCTCCTTTTTTCCATCCCAGAGACCTTTTCAATAGAGCACATTATTTCCATTTTACAGATGAGAAAACAATCTCAAAGAGGTTTTGTGACTTACCTATACTCACAAGCATCAGACCTTGGATTAAAACCCAGATCTTCACTGTTCAAGCGCAACACTCATTCCCGTATGCCTCAATGCCTTCTCACATTTAATTTTTTTTTTAAAAAAAGGAAGTGTACCCCTATTTCAACTAGTCTCAGAAGAGGACTTCATCTTTAGGATAGCTTTATTGCATCTTATAATGAGAGCTCCATGGTGGATAGAGAACTGGCCTTAGATTCAGTCATTCAGAGGTTCAAGTCTCACCCCTGACATGTTAGTTTTATAACTCTGAACAAATCATCTAACCTTTCAGTGGTTCCTGGAAACTCTCATAGACTATAAGCAGTAGAAGTTACTTATCTCATTGATGATGATAATAATGATACTTAGCATTGACATAGTGCTTTAAGGTTTACAAAACACTTTATAAATATTATTTCATTTTACAGTTATTGTGAAGGTCAAATGAAATATCAGTGAAGAACTTATGGTGATTGGCACATAGTAGGGGCTATATATAAATGCTTATTCCCTTACCTTTTGCTACCCCCTTATCATCACAAAAAACCTGGTACTATTATTATGCCCATTTTACAGATGAGAAAACTGGAGCAGACAGAGGTTAAATCATTTGCTCAGGGTTACATAGCTGGTAAGTGCCTGAGACCTGATTTGAACTCGGGTCTTCCTGACTCCAGGTCCAACATTGTATCTATCTACTGCACCACCTAACTGCTATCAGTAAAGGAACTTCCTCACTGGTAGTTAGTTTCCTACATAAATGAAATCACAGGTCTAGATAAAAACAAAACAAAAACTTAGTATTAATGATCTTCATTGTCCATAATTACCAAGGATAGATGTAAAGATATGCTAGCATTAAAAACCAAAGATAATACCACCTCTATATGATAGCTTGGACATCCTAGAGTCTATATAGGAACATGTTCCTATTTGTACCTTATTTACAAATATTTGTTGTGTTCCTATCATCCCGTCTCACTAAGGGAAATCACACTAGGATAAGATTTCTGGATACAATTTCTGATCCATAAACTATGAAAACACAGATTCCTTCATAATTGTTGATTCATTCATGACAATTTATTAAATTACATGCATGGTTCTATATCAGGTGTTATAAAGCCAGGTAAAGAATAAGGGAAGACTATTTTTGTCCTTTAGTTGTTCAGAATCTAGAGAAGGACACTGTTCGGTGGTTTCAGAGGCTATGGCATACCATCTGTGATGCTTCCTAAAAGGAAACGAATGCTTCCTTCTGGCCACATGCCTGCCATCTCTACTCTGATCAGGACTCAGCCAGGGACAATTCATTGATGACAATTCTTTCCCAAAGGAAATTGCTTCAGTGCTAATTGTCTGAAGCTATGATCCAGTGATCCTGTCAGCATGATGAAAGACAAACTCATGCATTTCTTATATGTAAAATAGGTATGATAATGTCTGCACTGCCTATTTGAAAGGACTATGAAGAGGATAAAATCAGATAAGGGATATGGAAAAAAACATTTAGGAGGAGCATTAATGACGAATGTTAAACATCGTTAAGCATTTGGGGGCTAGTAAACTTTGTAGCAGTGATTATTTCAATGAATAATGTCAACAATATTTACTTGCACTTAAAAAAAAACAAACCTCAGTAAGATGGCATAGTGGATAGAATGCCAGGCCTAGATTCATCTTTGTAAATTCAAATCTGGCCTCAGACACTTACTAGCTGTGTGACCCTGGGCAAGTCACTTACCCCTATTTGCCTCAATTTCTTCATTTGTAAAATGAGCTGGAGAAGGCCATGGCAAACTACTCCACTATCTGTCTTTGCCAAGAAAACATTCAATGGAGCCATGAAGAGTTGGACACAACTGAATATCAACAAGAAAAAAAATAGAGACATATTTGATCTTTAATTTTGAATTGGCATCCAGTTTTATGAGAGGCAACACAAATAGTATATAGAAAAGTGGCTTTGGAGCCAGGAAGACCAGGATTCAAGTTCTACTTCTGAAATATGCTGGCTATCTGACCAGGGACAAGTTATGCAGCATCTCAGCACTCTAGGTGACTCTCTAAGACTCTGTGTTACCTAGGATGTGCCAACTTGCACTGAGAGAGAGAGAGAGAGAGAGAGAGAGAGAGAGAGAGAGAGAGAGAGAGAGAGAGAGAGAGAGAGAGAGAGAGAGAGAGAGAGAGAGAGAGAGTTTCTTCATCTGGGAGATTCTTTATTCCACTGAAATCACAGGTCCAGTCCCAAGTCTCCTATCCACTTCTATAACAAATGAAAGTTACACTGTTGAAATTTAAGCTGAGCTCCTTGCTCCCATAAATGGTGACAATGCCAAGTTTCAATGGTGAAGTCAAATATCAGGGCACAGTCTGCCACCACCCCACGCCATGTTTTTCATACTTCACTGGAATGAGCAAAGCACTTTGGGGTCTTCCTTTAAATGAGGAAAGCAGTTTTGATGGGATTTTTTATGGGCTTTCTGCAGTGGGAGTAATAAAAGTATTATTTAGCTGTGTGACCCCAGGCAAGTCACTCCTCTCTACGTCTCACAGTTACATCCCCTATATAATGAGAGCGGTGGATTAGAGGGTCTCTAAGCTACATGCCAACTCTGACATTCTATGAGTCCATGCCTTTGCAATTTTACTGGGGTCTGGATATGACCATTCAGAATCATAATCATTATAATCATTCCAGCATTGAGGGGGAAAGAAAGGTCTTTGTTCACCTGCCTGTGGAGACAGCTGTTCTGGAAATATGCCTAAGCCAAGATCTGACTAACAGGTGTCCATATGATTTGTTATATGTTTTAGGGTCCTAAAGGCTCAAAGGGAGACATGGGGGATTCGGGTCAGCCAGGTGAAAAGGGAGGAATTGGACTTCCTGGATTACCGGTGAGTATGTATACATAAAGGTTTGGGGAGGTGTGTGTGTGTGTGTGTGTGTGTGTGTGTGTGTGTGTGTGTGGTGTGTGTGTGTGTGTGTGTGTGTGTGTGTGTGTGTGTATGCATGCATGTGCATGCTAGCTTCCAGATCAGGAAATATCAAATCACTAGAAAAAATTATTTGTTAGTTTCAGAATGATAACAACATGATTTTTCTGTTGGAAGGGTGAGGGTATTGATTTATTACTCTAGCTCTGAATACTAGATTATATTGTCTAACATCTGTAAGCATCTGTAATGATAATAATGCTCCAAACCAGGGTGGCTGTGGGTGGGAGGGGTAATTCTGTAGAAACCTATGGACAGACAGAATTCACCAGAATGTTGGGGGTTGCCTGTCTATCAGCTCCAAGTTCACTTCCCCTTTAAGGGGAGTTCAAACTATAAGCTTGCAAAGCACCTTACCATGCACTTTCTTACTCGATCCTCTCAGCAACTCGCTGAGATAGGTACTATTATTATCCCCATTTTACAGATGAGAAAACTGAAGATCATAGAGCTCATAACAAACTTTCATGGCTAGTGTCTCAGGTGGAGTTTGAAACCAAGTCCTCTGGACTAGAGTCCAGACTAGCACTGTGCCATGCTGACTTTCTGTAGGAATCCAACTAACTGATCAGAGAATACAACCTCCCATTTTTTCTAAATCATGCTCATTGGAGGAAATGATGAAAAACCTTGTTTGGCCACGTTCCTGTTAGTTAGTCCCCATAGAAACTTGACAAATAGATGTCAGGAAATCAAACTAGAGACATAAAATAAACCCGTTTTTAAAGTACCTAATAATGGGGGCTGGTGGGGAGGGGGGAGAAGAGCATTTTGGTACTGTGTTGTAAATGTGTTAAAATAAACAAACAAAAAACCCTTCCTGAGAATTTATATGTACTAATTTGTAGGAAAAGTAGATGAATAATTGAAGTTTATGGAAAGACTTCCCTATTTTTCCTGTGAAATGCTTGTCAAATTAGCAGTGATGATTTGGGTAAAATCCTTTTCATCAGGGGGGTGAATGGAATTTAGATTTGATTTACAATTAATAATGGAGTGACTGCCACTTATAGGACTTTATGGAGGTTCTTATTTTAATAAAAAAAATTATTAATTACCTACTATATGCCAGGCACAGTGCTAAGTACTGGGGATGCAAAAAGAGGTGAAAGACAGTTCCTGCCCTTAAAGAGCTCACAGTCTAAGCAAATAAATATATGCAAACAAATTATATTCAAGGTAAATAGAAAATAATGAACAGGAACACATTAGAATTAAGAGAGGTTGGGAAAGACTTCCTAGAGAAAATGGGAGTTTGGTTGATACTTGAGGGAAACCAGGGAAACTAGGTGGTGGAGATGAAGAGGGATAACACTGCAGGTATGAGAGACAGTCAGGAAAAATACCCAGAGCCAAGAGATGAAGTGTCTTGTTCAAGGAAAAAAAAACAGCAAGGAGGCCATTGTCACTGGATTAAAGAGTATGTGATATGGAATAAGGCTTAAGAAGACCCACCAACAGGCTTTTGCAGTTGTCCAAGAGTGAGTTAAGGAGGGCTTGCATCAGAGTGATGGCAGTACTGGAAGAGAGAAGGATGTGTATTTGAGAGATATTGCAAAGGTGAAATCACCTTGGTAATTGCAAGATCTTGACAACAGGTTGGATATGGGGCAGGGGAGTGAGAGATAGTGAGGAGCATCTAACTCGGGAGTCTGAGGGACTGGGAGGATGATGTTGCCCTTGATGCTAGAGGAGGAGAGGTTAGGGGAAAAGATCATAAGTTTAGTCTTGAACATGTTTAGTTTAAGATGTCTATTAGCAGACATCCAGTTGAAGATATCTGAAAGGCAGCTGGAGGTACAAGAATGGAGGTCAGCAGAGACACTGGGGCCAGATAGGTAGATTTAAGAATTCTCAGCATAGAGAAGACAATTAAATGGGCAGAAAGTAAAGATGGACCGAGACAACCCTAAGGGACACCCATGGTTGGAAGATAGGATCTGGAAGAGAATCTGGCAAAGGAGATTCCTAATCAAGTTTCTAGTACAGTGGAAGCTGCTTGGGGAAGGGGATTATTTGGGTGTTTGTGTTTTGTGTCCACAGCCCCCAGCATACAATACCTGGCATGTAGTCTTGTAAAGGAGTGTTAAATTATGATGATCAGCTTCTAACCAAAAAGAAAAAAAAGTACAGGTAGTCTGCAAATATATTAAAATTAATTAGAAAACCTAGGAGGTGAGGTGTTCATTTGCAATTTAGAGAAATATTAAAATAAATTTTGAGCAAAATACAAAAATCAAATCTCTACTGTATTTTTTTATTGATATGTCCCAAGAGAACTTGGAGGTTTCAACAAACTATTTAAAGATAGAGAGAAGAAGATGATACTATTTGTGTTTTGAATGTACATAATTTTGTGATCCTTCTGAAAATAAGCTACCCATTTCTGTAGTGTATTATAATAGCGGTTACTATTAGCCCAAGTGGACCCAGTTACTTGGGGGTAATGGACACTAAAGTGAATTTTTCTTCATGTTCTTCATAGGGTGCCAATGGCATGAAAGGAGAGAAAGGAGACTCTGGTTTACCGGGGCCGCAGGGACCCTCTGTAAGTTCCTTGTGATTATATTCCTGTGGTTGTCCATAAAACGTTGGAAAACAGGTCTTCCATTTACTGAGCCCAGACCTGCACCAGATGGTTTAACAACTGTAGGAACTGCTAATGTCTTGGTGTGTCAAACTGTAAAGGAAATTTCTGTCAGCCTTGTACAATGGGTGTCTCAGGAGAACAGGTTGGAACTAATTTTTCAGAGGGCTGTCTAACCCCAAGGAAAAAAAAATCAATGGCTTTCCATCACTGCTTGTGGGTAGAATTCTAAAAGCAGAACATACTTCCAGTTTTCTCTAGAGCCATGTTTTTGCTCATTGGAATATTTGAAAATATAGCAGTAGCTGTAGCATTTATGGTATTTCTTAATAATTGGTTGCTTCCTGTTTTGGACCAATTGGTATTTGATGGAAGGAATCTAAAACATAGAGAATTTAATGCATCACTTTCCTGCAAGGCCCTTCTCCCTATTCAAATAATGAGAGCTGCAAACTAGAGGGATTCAGTCTAACTTTTCTGAAAGAAACAAACACATTTTATTTTTAATGTATAGATCATCGGCCCACCAGGTCCACCAGGCCCCCATGGTCCACCAGGTCCAATGGTAAGTCTTCTTTTTCTTCAGCAATTAATATTTTATTTAAGAGCTATAACTCGAGAGTGGAACCAGAAAGAATCACCAGCCACGTTTGTTTTATTTACCAAGAAACATGTAGAAAGAAACTAAGTTGTTGCTTTGAGCTACCAAGACTTAAGATGGTATCTTTCCCTTACTCCCTGTCCTGAGTAAATTGTTGTTTTTCCAGAGATCCAGTTGTTAAACAATTTATAAGCAAACCCCTGGGGATAGCTTCTACTCATCTTCAACAATATAACATTAATAAAATCCTGGCCACCAGATAATATTTCTGAAGGGTTTTGCTTTACATAACATAACAGCTTTCTATTGTAAATAGGCTTCATATATAGTTGGATTTTTTTAATAGTCTTTAGCAAGGCAGGCAATGAAAAAAATCAAATCTATCTTCACTGTTGCTCAACAGATAAGATCTCTTTCATATATATGTATGTGTGTACATATATATAGTGTATGCATGTATGTGTGTATAAATACACATTCAAACATGTATACATATAAGAATAATATGTGTACTGTATATATCAACATGCTTGTATATATCTATATCTATCTATACACACACACATACCCACACATTACACAGAGATGTGCTGGCAAATGTTTAACAGCTGGGTCACAGGGAGGTTATACATGCATATGCAAAAAAGTGGTCACAGTTGCTTATCTAATACATGTGTATACATACACATAAACATGTATACATATATGTATAATGGATATGTTTTGCATATATAAATATACACACATATGTGTGTGTATATCCTATATCTATATCTGTCTATACATACACACATACTACCCAGCAGTATGCTGGTAAATGTTTAACAACTGGATTTGGGCGGGGAATCTATCTATCTATCTATCTATCTATCTATCTATCTATCTGTGTGTGAATGTAGATATACATATATATTGTATATGTATATGTAGCCAGATCCATATCTATCTATATCTATCTATCTATCTATCTATCTATCATCTATCTATCTATCTATCTATCTATCTATCTATCTATCTATCTATATCTATCTATATCTATCTATCTATCTATCTATCTATCTATCTATCTATCTATATCTCATTATATGATAAACTATGGTCACTTTTCCTTTCTACTGTGTTCCAGTGCTTATCTCAGTGCCTGGCACATAGTAGGAGCTTAATAAATGTTTGACTAACTACAGAAAAGGATGATAGAATGGTTGAAGGTACCTGAGTCACAAGCTGTAGCACTAGCCACAATCATTCCATCTCACAAATGACCACTTCCATTCTGCAGTGGGTGACACCTCCATATCCTTTCTTAGGGCACCAGTCACTAGTCCATTAAGCCTAGTAATTATGATGTTGGCACTTCAACACTCCCTCCCAAAGCTTTAGAGAAAAGGAAATGAAATGATACTGTATCTTGTTCATCTATTCTTAGTAATGGCTCTTGTGAAATACATTCTAGCCAAGTAAAAGGTGGAGAGGACTTCTGATAAACAAACAAGCCGTCTCCAGAAAAAAGTTTTTCAATAATCTGTCTGAAGTGAGCATATTGTTGCAATAAAAAATGCCATACATATGCATGCAATATTTTATTGCATAACAAATTCTTTCTTATGATTTTACATGCAAACATATTTACCCTCTCCTATTTTCTAAATAAAGTCCTTTGAGATATTTATTAAAAGCCAAAATAGAATTCAAAGGGCATAGTTTTGTTCAAGTGTCTACTTAGTCTCTCTGGATTTCTTATTAATTTCCCTATAATGCATTATTTTGCAGCCTGATTCATTCATTTGTAAGATCTTTCTAGTAAGTGATTAGAATGATTGATACTGTGATATGTCATCACTGAGCCATTGAAGGCATTTGCCTGCACTCACCCCTCTGCCCAAATTCTACTTTTTTTCTAATGGGGCAGAGAGTTGGACAAGGATTAATAGTTCTCCCTGCAGGTTAAGAGATCTAGTATTAAGTACATGAAAGCCTAAGATTCTAGATTTCTTTCTATTCCTGACTTCCCAATACTTTTTTTACATGCTCCACACCATCCCAAAGTGACCTTTTGCCTGTCTCATTCCCCTTATTGACAATATCCCACAGTTTTCAGCTTTTGGGCACTTCTTTTGATTGCCATTCTATCAGAACACACACACACACACACACACACACACACACACACACACATTGGCCATAAAACAGTCTTAGTGCAGTTTAAAGTTTTAATAGTTTTAAGTTTTAATAGCTTAAAATTGCACTAAGGATTTTAGGACAATCTGTATAATGACCTCAAGAGGAGAAGGTAAATCATATACCACACTTCTTGGCACATAGAAGGTGTTCAATATGTTGTTTTTCAGTCATTTTAACAGTTCAACAAAAATTTAATGAGCCCTTATTATATGCAAGACTTGTTTTCCCCTCCTTTACATTCTCCTGTTTTTTTTTAATGAGGCAATTCCACTGTGAACCCAACATACCCTTCCATAGTAAGTTTGTATCTCAAACTAGTGTTGCCCTTGACTCACACATCTCTTCACCTGCAAAAGAGATCAAGTGCTCCCTGAAATAGTTCCTAGACTGTTTTAACCTCCTCATTGTAGTGACTGCTTTATATTAGTTACACTTCTGTAATAGATAATGACAGTCAAAGTCAGTATCTTTATCTATTTCCCCTTTTTTTCAGTGTAAGCAGCTTGAAAGAATAGGTCAGATTTCAGGTGTTGTAATACATCTCGTCTTTATTCTTCTCATTTGTTGTTCATTCTAACCTTTGCTCTCACTTCACACTGACAGCTGATTCAGAAATTATGTTCATCTAAGGAGCCAGTTAACCTGTCAATTAAGATACAGTCAATTTCATTTTTTACGTCATTTGGTGTTCTTTATGTGTCCTTTCTTGAAGGAAGTATTAATAATATGCATGTGTAAAGCTTGGGCCTTTTTTATTTCTTAATCTTGAACAATATTTTCTATCATATTTTTCACTCTCTTGACCTAAGTACCAAAGTTTATACTGACTCACTTTGAAAATCTTGCCAGGTTCTTCATAGGATTCCTCTACTGCTTCACTTCTTCAAATAGTTTTGAAGCACAAATTTCAATCATCCTCATGATAGTCTTTGTTTATATTCTTCGTGTGTCTTTCAGGGTGAGATGACCATGTAATGATCTTTCTCATTGCCTTTAGATAGTTGTGTGACATCCAAGCAAGCCAGGTTATGTACTGAGTGTTTTCAGCAGATAAAGAGAAGGGGAACAGCAAATAGAAGGAAAATGGAACAGATATGCCAATATTTCTGTACCGTTTTGGTTTCACTATCAAAAGCAAAGGAACCACCAAAACTGAATTCAGCAATCATCTGATTACACCTCAGTAATTAACGTACTATTTGAAAAGGTAGAAACGGTGATTGAGAAAAATAAGGCAGTCAGACAATGTACACACAGAGGAAAGACATTCTGGAGGTTATATAATTTTGAAAATATTAATGGATTGATTTTTCAAAGAAGGAAAAATACCAAACAATTGTAAAAAAATTGCAAACAGTATTATTATTCCCCCCAAAAGTGATCAAGAACACATCAGTAACTAACTAACCTATATAACCGGTTTTCCTTCTTTATAAAATCTTTGCATTACTTTTTTACTGTGAAAAATTATGACTATGAGAATTCAGAAAAAAAAATAAGGAAGGACAGAAAATTGGTGCAGAGTAAAATAAGCAGAACCGGGAAATCTATATGCAATATAAACCGAAGGGAATATAAAATACAATTGAATATTTATAATGTCCCAGTGAAGAATTAGAAAATTTACCTTGATGAAGAGATATCCATGAAGAAGACATGAGAAGAGAATAGACAGGCTTTTGTAGATGATTTTATCTACATCTTTACAACTATATATATGTATAGATATATATACACATAATATATATCTTTTTAATTACACAGTTGTTGAGAGGTATGGCTCCTACTGTGTTTATTTCTATTGAGTACTAAAAGAAATTTGATTCAATAGGGCAAATTGCCTTAAAGACTCTCTTCCAACCATGAGTCTACCATGAATGTCTTAGGACCATGTAAGCATTCTAAATACAAGCAATCTCCAAAATAACTTTATTCTCAAGCCTCTGATCATCAAAAGTGTTCCTCTGGAGTCCAAATGGAAGAAGGATTCCCTATAGATGGCAAAGTCTTCCGTATGTTTTTGTTAGCTCAGAATATCATAGGGCCTCTCCAGTGTGAAACATGACCAATCAAAAGAGAACATGCTAATAGTCTATGAAAAAAATGGAATGGGAAATGTCCATTATCCGCACTATGGCATACAGTTAAATGAATAGCACCTTTAATTAGTCCGTTGATACATATATCTTGGGTAGGCACTGAATGAAGATTGATGCGAAGCTAGGCCCAGAGAAGAAGAAAAGGAACTGCTAGATTATATTTGGAAAGTTGGGCAGTATTTCCAACGGTTTCAAGACGTTCACACACATACACACATACACAGAGTTTTTTCAAACACCCATTTGCTTTCTCTTGGTAGTACTATATAATCACAGAACATGAAAAGCCACAATTCCCCAAAATTACAATTGCAGGCAATCCAGAGGACAATGGAATGACAATGATGGGCATACATGTTACTTGCATCCAAAAAGTGTTATAAGAGATATTGAAGAAATGAATGACTAGAGAGTTAGGTTGGCTAGACACATAGTTGGAGTGAGAGACAACTCATGGACAACCCAAGTGCTCTCCTGATGGTCACAAAATGAGACCTTTCCGTCTGACTTGCAGGTGAAATCTTCCATATGTGTCGTCTCCATCTGAGAATGTGAGCTCCTTGAAAGCAGGGAGTGTCTTACTTTTCTATTTGTATCCCTAGCACATAGCACAGTATTTTGTAGGTAATAATTTCTTAATAAATGCTTTATTCATTCATTCATTTAAAAGGAAGGCCTCTCCAATATGGATATACTCATTATGGATTTGTGGGAGAATATGAACAAGAATCAAATGGCTTAAGAAGGGGTGAATGGCTCCAAATCTACATTGTTCCAAAAAGTATCCATAGCAATAAGCTCCTGAATTCACTGAAATACTGATGTATGTGTACGGCACAGTGTTAGGCACTGGAGGGGTATAAATAAGACTAACAACCAGTCCCCATTCTCAAGGAGTTTACATTCCAATGTTGATGCCATAAACAGCACAAGAATAACTCTTAGACAATACTTTCTTAAATCCCCCCTATTCCTCTCTGTACCCAGACACATTTTACCCCACTGACAAGTAATTTTCTTAATGGGAATCTTATTGTGATGGAATTTCAAGGTTTGACAGAGCTGTCAAAAGGTCATCTAAAATCTAATCCAACTCTCTTCCTCTAACCATATCCCTAAACAAGCACATTGTTGCTGTTTTGTTTTATTAAATATTATGTTTTTATATTATCTAGACATGTATTTTATATTTTCTATATTACATATATATTTTCAGATTATGTATTATATTACATATTATATATATTTTCCAATAAGTTGTTTTGATTACAAATGACAAATAGTGGTCTAGTTCTTAATCAGAAGTTTCTTCTCTACTTCCAGGGACCCCATGGACTTCCTGGGCCAAAGGTAATCAAATAACTGCCTGGCTCCTTTCTGTTAAACTTTTTTTGTTGTTAATCATTGTGAAGCATGACCCAAACATGTTTGTCTCTGTCTCATTCATTTGTGAAATACCAGTGATATTCTTTAAACCTTTAAGCATCCAGATATTTAAATCTTATGATGCAGAATGACTCACAGCAAATTTAAATGATATCACCCAGAGAAGGATTTATTCTTTTGCATTTCTTCCAAGCACAACTCAAGTTTATGATACCGAGATAATAAAAATCAACACATCATACAGCGAGCTGATGAAAGTTTCAGACTAACCCAGGTGTTGCTTTGTAACCATGCTATCTTTAGAACCAATTTAGCTTACATTTTGAAAATCACTGAGTGTTATTAATATGCGCTTCCTGAAGTTTAAATAGGCCCACCGATCTAGAACTAAGAAGGGTTTCAGGATCACCTAGTCCATCCTCTTCTTTTTACAGATGAAGATACTGAGGCCCCAAGAGTTTAAGTAACTAGCCCAAAGCCATATAAATAATGATAGAGAGGATTTGAATCTAGATTTTCTGTCTCCAAATCTAACGTTCATTCCATCACACTACGAATATGATATTACCATACTTCTGAATTTCCATTTAATTTTTAGTATCTGCCATTTTCAAATTTCAACTACCTTATAGGGCATTTATGAGATTACACGTATGTTTTATATTCATTGAATGGAGAGTGTAACTGGACACAGTCCCCTAGAAACCCTGCTTAGCAGTAATGTCTCCTTCTGCTTTGCAGAAGAGATAACCTCATCTTGCCCTTTGTTAAGAGGAAACGTTAGAACTTTAGCAGTGAAAGGCAGTGTACAGATCATTAATTCCGGGGCCCTCAGGGAACATCACCTCTCTGTGGAATACTGAGAGCAGAAAATAAACCCAATGAAGACTCAGACACACTGCGAAGTGTGATGTGACTCCTTGCAAAGGCAAAGAATTCCACAAATATCTCAGGATCTAGGGGAAAAAAGTAGGCAAAAGTGGAGTAAAAGAGTAACCACTGGCATGAGAGAGAGAGAGAGAGGTCCACCCAACTCAGAAATGTTGGCAAAACTTCTGCATTGTTTGTATTATGGTAAAGAGTCCTTGTACCAACCTTGCCTCCAAGACTGCCTTTTTAGGGAATTTCTTGAGTTGTTGAATATAAACATCACTACCATTTCTCTAGTTTAGAGAGGGAAAGAGGTTTCCCAAATCTACTTTTCTTCAGTACAATCTGGATGTCCTCAAAAAAAGCAACAGGCTTCCTAGAAAGCAGGCTCCCATTCTCTAAAGAGGCAGTCTTGGAGGCAAGGTTGATACAAGGATTTTTTGAGGACATCCAGATTGTACTGGAGAAAAGTAGATTTGGGAAACCTCTTTCCCTCTCTGAGCTAGAGAAATAGGAGTGATGTTTATATTCAACAACTCAAGAAATAGTTATCTGTGTATGAAGTGCAGTACTAGACACCAAGGGAGATTAAAAAAAAAAGCTAAAACATGTCTTGCTCTTGATAAGCTTACAATCTAATTGGGGAGACAAGACATGCATATACACACACATCCCTTAACATACATAGCTATAATACACACATATGTGTATGTATGTTTGTATATATGCATAGAATAAGAAAGAAGAAAACAAGAATTTATGAAGCACCTACCCCATGCCGGCAATTTCACAAATATTGTCTCATTTGATCTTCACAACAGTCCTGAGAGGTAGATGCTATTATTATCCCCGTTTTGTTGTTATTTAGTAATTTTTCAGCTGTGTCTGACTCTTCATGACCCCATTTCAACTTTTCTTGGCAAAGATACTAGAATGGTTTGCCATTTCCTTCTCCAGCTCATATGACAGATGAGGAAACTGAGGCAAACAGGGTTAAGTGACTTGCCCACAGTCACGCAGCTAGCAAGTGTTTGAAGCTGGATTTGAACTCAGGTCTTCCTGACTGTAGGTCCAGTGCTTTATCCACCGTATCCCCACCTGCCTGATAGGCAAATATATGTAACTTGTACTAATATAGAATAAATATATATGAAAAGTTTCAAAAGTGCCATGGAGACTCCAAGGAAGGAGAGGTGATTTATAGGTGAAGGGAACCTAAAAAGCCTTAGTGGACAAGGAAACATATGAATTAGGTCTTGAAAGATGAGAAGGATTTCTGTAGGGGGATAGAAAGCTAAGGGAAGAAAGCTGATGAGGACATTCCAGTATAGCCCATGCTTAGGGCTTGGTGTATATTAAAATTTGGCGAGAGCACAGAGTATAAGAAAGGGTGGATGCAAGATAAGGAGAGAGGGAAAATGTAAGAAAATCTGGAGAGAGTTATGTCACTTTGTGAGAAGCCTTGGACTTAATTCAGCAGCCAATAGAGTTTTGAGCAGAGGAGTAATATCTCTTGTACATATGGAAGATCTGACAGGGATTTGAAGGATAGATTAGGAGTAGAGAGGACTGGAGACAGGGACATGTATTAAAGAAGAGAATAAGGGAAGAAAATAAGCATCTATGAAGCACCTACTATGTACCTGGCACTGTGCCAAGCCCTTTATAAATAATGTCTCTTTGATCCTTACAATAACCCTGTGAGGTAGTGCTACTATTATTCCCATTTACAGTTGAGGATAGGAAGCGGAGGTTAAGTGACTTGCCCAAGGTCACATGGCTAATTCAGTCTGAGGCTAAATTTTAACTCGAGTCTAATCCTGACTCCAGGCCCAACTCTCTACTACTGTGCCACCTAGGTGGCTCACTATTTGTACTTATATGGGAGAGAGGCAATTAGAGGTTGGGTTAGGATAGTGGATATGGAAAGGAGAGGGAATAGTGTATATGAGGCATTGTTCAAGGACTGACAGACCCAACAGCTGAATGCACATAAGGTGGGAGAAAGGTATCAAAGTCTTCTTAAATTTTGAGCACAATGACTGAGTGAATAATATACAGAAGCAGGTAATTTCCTTTCTCTTGGGCATGTGGTGAACCCAGGGGAAATATCTCATAAGCCTGGATGGTGTCTTGGAAATACAAATAACTAGATGACCTGGTTTGGGCATGACACTTCTAGCCCTCAGTGTCTCCAACTATAAAAAGTTTTTTAAAATTATAATCTGAAATGATATTATTCAAAAAGTTATCAGTTAGGGTTCCTTCTATCTCTAAAATGCTATGACTTGGACTGCTCCATCCCTTAACTAACTTATCCCCTCTTGGAGTGTAACTACAAATTTTTCCATACAGAGAGATGTTATGATTGGGTATAATTTTGAAATATTACCTTCCTGCTTTTCAAGACTGTACTAGGTATATTTAAAGTCTAAATATGAAAGTCGCAGAGGCTTTGGGCCAGGGCTATCTGTAGTTGACTACTTGTTAGTGGGAAAAGCCTTATCTTCATTTTCCAATCTCATGGAAACATTAAATAATTTCTGATCTCCCACTTCCCAATGTAAACACATATACAATTAATATCATTTGAAACATTTTTCAATGTGGCACAGTCAGGAGACCCAAGTTCAAATCTAGCCTCAGACTGGGCTAGTTGTATAACCTCCATTTGCCTCAGTTTCTTCATCTATAAAATGGGGATAATAATAGCATCTATCTCCCCGGGTTGTTGTGAGGATCAAACAAAATTATAATTGTAAAACACTTAGCACACAGCATGGCACATAGTAAGCACCAAATAAAAGTTAGCTATTTTCATTATTCTATTATGACATAAATTATGTGATTATAAAAATATGAAAAAGCAGATATTAAGCATCTGCCATGACACAAAGTGGAAAAGACTAGCTAGCATGTTAAAAGGCAAAGTAATCCGAAATGATCTCTGAAAAATGGGTAAATCTTAGACTAAATCCAATAAGGATAAATGTTGAATCCTACAGTTGAGTTGAAGGAATGAACTATACAAGTATATCATGACAAAGTATGACTAGATAAGAATTCACACACAAAAATATGGATTGTGTTTTTTATTGTGTATGTACATGCATTATAAGTCCAATATGACTAGAATATGACAGCGAAAAAAAAGAAGGCGGATTTAAGTTGCATTGAGAGGCATGGTGCCCAGAATAGTTAGATTCAATTGTTCCATTGTACCCTTCCCTGTTCAGAGCCTATCTGAGGTATAGTAGTCAGTTCTGGGTACCACCTTTTAGGAAGGCCTTTGAAAATGAAAAAGCTAGGAATGAGTGACCAAGATGATGAAGATGTGGCACATAATGATAGCTGAATGAAATGGTGATATGTTGCTTAAGAGGAGATTGGGTGGGAGTAGCCAATGAGGGCTGTTTTCAACCTGCAGTAGAGCAGGACTTGGACTTGTCCAGCTAGTGTCCAGAGAAAAGAGAGAGGCAATGGGTAGAAGCTGAAAAGCGGAAGATTCCCTCAATACAAGGAAAAAACTTGCCAACTATTAGAACAGTCTCAAAACAGAATGGGGATGCTAGGTGGCACCATAGTGCATGGAGCACTGGGCCTTGGAGTCAAGAAGAGTCATCTTCATGAGTTCAAATCTGGCCTCAGACACGTCCTAGCTGTATGACCCTGGGCAAGTCACTTAACCCTGTTTGCCTCAGTTTCCTCATCTGTAAAATAAGTTGGAAAAGGAAATGTTAAACCACTCTAGGATCCTTGCCAAGAAAACCTCAAATGGAGTCATGGAAAGTCAGACAAGTCTGAAATGACTGAACAACCACAAATAAGCAGAATAAGCCTCTTCAGGAAGTAATGGATTTCCCTTCACTAAAGATCCTAAAACAGAATCTAAATGAGCTCTTTTTGGGGATGTCACAGAAGGAAATTCCTGAGCTGGATCAGATGACTTCCAATTCTATCATTCTGTGATTTTTCATTGTACCAATGACTTATACAACCTTAGTATAGTTTTAAGTTATTAAAGTTTAGCTATAATGTTAAATTAAATAATCGATTATTCATTATTTTTTAATTATTAAATTATTTACATTAAATATTAAAGCTATTTAGATTTTTAGATTTTATAGCTACATTATAGATAATATATCTAATATCTAATATATATTTATATATGATGTATAATCATCTATTAATAATATATATAACTTTTTAAGATATATTTTAGATGTATTGGACCTCTATCTTTAAAGGTATTAAAACTGCACTAAGACTTTTAGGACATATCTTGAGCTACCATTTTATTCTCCCTTTATTCTAATATTAGATATATGAATGATAAAAATTTTTTTTAAGACTTTATGTTTTTACATATGGGATAGCAAAAACTGGAAAGAGGCATTCTGGGCATCTAGTCTCTACCATCCTGATTCAGCTGCATAAGAAGGCATTTGTATATCTGAGGTAAACATTGTTTGATGAAGTCACTGGACTCAGGCTTCCTAACTGGTATTATTTCAGAACATCAGGCATTGTCCTCTTTGGGTGAACATAGATGCTTAAAGGTTTAAAATATCCATCCTTAAGACTCTCCTGCATATTACAGTTTGTCGTTCCAGCAGAATGGGCTTTTGTTACAAAAACTCCCCCAGCACCTTCCCCTTTGGTTTTTACCGATGTGTTTTGCCACAGCTGTGTGATGCAAATATTTCATTTCCAGATGTGAGCAAAGTGGAGGGCCATAATCCCACCCTTGAATTAATTCAGTCAGGAGGGTTTTTTTCTTCTATGAAGATGATGTCAACAATTCCAGTTTCTTTTATTCTATCATACATTTAAATTAACTGATAATCATCCTCCCTCTCTGCCAAAAAAAAAAAAAGAAACCATAAAGAACTATTGAATTGATAAAAGATAATTCTAGCTCGCCTCTGCTGTTACTTCAGACTGAAATTTGCAGCCATTTCTGAGACTGGTTCTCTTCTATCCCAGCTTTAAAACACCCATTATAGCAACCAAAATTGGCATTTACTTTTGCATTTAGGGTGAACCAGGGTTAAATGGTCTTAAAGGATTGAAGGGTGAACCAGGTCAAAAGGGTGACAGAGGACCCCTTGGTCTTCCAGTAAGTAAAGAAAACTATTCAATTCTTAGTGCAAATCTCAGACTTGTCTTTCTATTTTAACCAATAACTCTGGTTTACTCAGGAGCACTTGAATGTTGTCAATATCCCCCTTGTTGAAAGCATCATCTTTTGGAGCAGAGCTCAGTCCCATTCAGTTTTCCCCAGAGTCTGCATTTTTTGTCACTTTTGCCCCCTCATTCAGTTGCCTACATGCCAACCTTCCCCATATATAAGTGAAAGTGCCCCCCTCTTCCCTCTTAAAGCCAACACACTCATTATTTCACGTGGTTCTTCCAAAAATATTCCCATAGTTCAGTGTAGATTTAAAGACTTCTGGAAGTTCTTTTTCTCCCCCAATGCCATACTTTGTTGCTCCCTGGCCTTGGCAGGCATGCAATTGATCATTGTTCATGGTGTGAGGACAATGCTGTGTGATTCCCTGCATTAATCCTATTGTCTTCTGAATGTTTCATGTTGTTTGTTTTGCACGTGCCATTCCAGAAGGTGGTGGTAGATTTTGAAGAAGGGGATTTTTTAATAAGCTTTCCAAACAATGAAAGTTAAATTCCTCTTCCTTCCCCATCCTTCATTGCCAACCTTCTCTCTACAACTACCACAAGATGAAAAGGAACTAGATCTGAAGTTTTAATCACATTTGATAAAAATTTAAATAATATTCCAATTTCAAGTTATATTGCAGATAAAAATCCAAATAATAACTAACCAAAAAGCCAATTATTAGTTGACTGATTTTTTTAATCTCTTCCAGAAAGGCTCCATTATTCAGTCTTACTTTACACTATCTCTGTCCCTGGAAAATATCTATATATACATAATAATGACAAAATATATGTATCTATATATAGTCTTCTCCAAATTTTTCAATATCCCACGTGATGATGATTCTGAGGAAAGAGCATCCATACACATTAAAAGTACACAACTGGCTTGAATTTTCTTTTTTTTTTTAATTAAATTCCCCAAATGATTTTTGTTTCCAATCACCCTGAATTTCAAGTTCTGGTCCTCCAATAATTTGCCTAGTTACTGCTCTATAGCAATGGCCCAAATGACTTGCCTATTGAAACAAGAGATTTTTTTTTTATCATCAGTGTTGGAGAAGTAGGATTACCCTTTGGTATTTTTTGTAGGAGCAGATAGCTATAAATATGTAGGTAGGTAGCATCATATGTACTGTTTGCAGTAGGAATCAGATTCCCCCTGCCTCAGTTTTGCATTACTAACTACATCCGAAGGCACAAGAGGAGAATATAAGTTAGTTCACCTGCAATCTAGCCAAGAATAAAGCCAGTGCCTTATCTTTCTTACTCAATCACATCAATGATATGAGTAAAAAGGACATATATAAATATTTTAGCCTTTAAAATCTATCATCCATGTCAAGTCAAAAATAGTGCTTATAGTCATGCTTGAAGTAAGCATTGGAAATCTGTCAGGTGCTCAGTTTAAATTCTACCCAATTGATCCCAGGCTGCATGTTCCTTGCAGTAATCAAGGATCAAAGAAAACATACATTTTTAAAAAGAACAAATAGAGAAATTGAGTTGATTACCATTTGATCTCTGATAGGTACTTTACTCAGGGATGATTTTGATATAGAAGATTTTCATAGTTAGATATTTTCTTTGTTAGACGTTCTCTGTTCAAAGCAGTCCCTCTAGTGGTAAATGAAATGAATGCTTGATGGTCTCACAGTGCACCCACCTGAGCCTTTAGTCTGATAGAATCTACTGGGGATAATCTAAGTCCCCTGCCAAAGCCACACTTTGTAACCCCACCAGAAAAAAAGGAGGGATGGGAAGTAGGAGAGGCGGGGGAAGAGTGGTGAGGAATACAGTTTAGCCCAGGAGTTTTGTGTTTTGTGTTTTCTGTCAGAGACCCCTCTGGCAGGCTGGTGAAGCCTATGAACTCCTCAGAATGATTTAAAAAAAAATAATTGAAGGAAATGCTAAATTTCAGTTAGAATTTAGTGCAAATAAAGATGTAATTTTTTTTCCTATCCTAGTTTCTTTTTAAAATTTTAAAAAATTTTATTTTTAATTTGTGGAATAAAACAAGCATTTCCATAGCAGTACAATAAAAAAGGTGATTGTACATGAAACTGCAAATCCGCAAATGCACAACTTGCCATTCCTTTCAAATATACAACAAAATTATCATGTAAATTTTGGTCTTTTTTTTCTTTCCCCCTCCTTCCCCCACCCTAGAGATGGCTACTATCAGACACAAATAGGCATGTCTCAGACCCCTTGAAATCTAACTACAGACAGTTGAAAAGCCCTGATCTAGTCATTCACTTTATCATTCCCCTCAAAATTCTAACATATAAAAACAGATTTTTCTTCTCCTTCATCTTTTTGGAATAGTGAAATGTAATAACTGACTCTTTAAATGAAGTTTTTCTTGGGGCAGCTAGATGGTGCTGGCCCTGAAATCAGGAGGACCTGAGTTCAAATGCAACCTCAGACACTTACTAGCTGTGTGACCCTCTGCAAATCACATAACTTTGATTGCCTCTAAAAGGGGGGGGGGATGAAGCTTTTCTTGTGGGATTGAGCCACTTTTTTTTCTCTTCAGAATTTATAAAGATATAAATATTTGGTGAATTTTGTAGCCCTTATAAAAATCATCTGTTATGGTCCAAATGGCATTTAGTAGAACTTTATGGTTATTATGGATTATTATGGTAGACTTTTTAGTCTACTTTATAAAACTCATTAGACTGATTTTTAAATAAGGATTTATGGGATAGAAATGTCATGAAAATGTGAGGGTCTGGGGGACATTTATTGTTGTGTGTTGTTGTTTTCTTTAACTAACAAGTTGTAGTAATGTGGTAGTCAGTTCAGAACCCTATAGCCACATATTCTGTTGTTTGAATTGTTATATTTGTTCATCAGTTCTACTTACTAATTTCATGTTCTTGTCATCCGTGTTACACCCACCAACCATGCTTCCAACCTAACCATACAGGGAGCATCTGGCTTAGACGGAAAGCCAGGATCCCGGGTGAGTCCCTCGTCTTCCTCCGCATGCCTTCCTCATAAGTTCGTGATGATCTGTGACACGTTTCTTAGCTCACTTTATTTGAGTAAAATGATGAATGATGTTCTTGGTGCTGAAATGGAAGAGGGAAGCAAACATGCTGGGAGGACTGGGAGAGTGAAATTGAAGCTTTCTGTGGATGAAACCCAGAACTACCAAAAGTCTTATCTCTAGGGCTAAAACGTAGGTCCGAATTCTGTTTATAGATGGGCAGGTATGGCTCACGTCTCCAAGAAAACTCAGCTCTGTTGTGTCAATCTCACATTCCATGGAATTCCATGGGACCATTCCTTCAATGGTACTAAAGAAGATTTTATTCTAGCCTTTGTTTTTACTTACTGTTCATTCTCTATTTATGTACATTTTCAAAAAATTGATAGATAGGTGAGTAGGTAGGTAGATAGGTAGCTTCTTTCTGAGCAATAGATGATCCTTATGTAAGCACATGTGCTCTTTTAAATGAGATATGTCCATTTATTGTAGCTTCGCCTCCTGTCTTGGCTTCATAATAGCACCATTCCCTCCATTTCTTGGATTTCAGCATTTGAAGTATTGTGAGGGTGGCTTTTGAACCTAAAGGCAAAACCGATTGAGACTGAGTGCTCACAAACGTATTGGATTAGATTTCTAGAGACTGGTTTTTTAAATCCAGATTGACTTTTTATCAGTTTTACCAGTATGCAGCCTGCAAAGTAGAGAATCAGTAGGAATGATTCTAAAATACTTCCTGACACTCTATATATTAAAAAAAAAAAAACAAACAACCTTGCAACTCACTTGCCCAAACAGCATTTTTTTCAAACAGTATTTCTTAAGCATCTCCTACAAACCAGGTACTGTTGTGCTAGGTGGTCGGGATACAAATATAGAAATCAAATAGTCCCTGACCTTATGGAGCTTACATTTTATTGGTGATCTAAACAGTCTCACCGGAAGTAGTAATTACATCAGAAGCGCCAACGGCATTTCTAGAAGCCAAAAGGAAAAAAATAGAAAAGCTAACCTTTGTTATTTTTTTAAAAAACAAAACAAAACAGCCTTCTTTTAGGCTGTCATTCTTTTCATTCAGACCTTTGTGTTTCTTTCTATATGCTGTATTTATTCACATAACTCCCACTTCTTTTTGTGGCTATTTTACCACTAAAATGGGAGAAGAGAAGGGAATCCTGCCAGCGAGTTGTCCAAGCTGCCTGCCACTGCTAACAGGATAACCCTAGGGATAGGAGCCAGGGGAATAATTCCTTCCCTTCTCCCTGTTCTCTTCCTCCTCCTCTTCACTCTTCTCCACCCACCCCACTTCCTCGAAAGATTCTCTGAAGGCTTGATCTGGGCAGGGAAACTGTGTTAACAATCACACTTCACTTGACTTTCAGCAAATTGTTCAACTCTCTTCCAACTGTTCTGGCCAAGCCTTCAGAGGAACTCCAGCTGCTGCTGACAACCAAAGCAACCCACTAGAGGAAAATAATGTGTGTGGGGTCAGGGAAGTCCTATATTTCTGCCTTAAAAATAGAGGATGGGAGAGGAGTGACATGTGAGGAGAGAAGATATGTGAATAAATATGGTCAACTGAGTTTTTTACCCTTGTTGGAATATGTCATTCACATGAACCTCTGAAAAGTAGTTAATCTGAAGAAATAAAACATAAGAAAAAGATGAGGAGCATCACAATATCTCCATGGTTTCCTAAGGCAACATTTAATTACTAAACCTCTACAGCTTGTTAGCAGCTTTTGAGTTATATTTCTGTTGCATTTTTTTTAGGGTACAGATGGCCCTATTGGACCCCATGGACCTGCAGGTCCTAAAGGAGAAAGAGTAAGTTCCTCTTATGGTCCTGCGTTATTTAAATGGATCTGTGGAATGAAGAAAGTTCTGTGGCCAAGGTTGCAAAACAAAGGACAAAAAGGGGCTTTCATCTTTTCCTCCCCAGGAGGATGGATGCAGCTATTCAGTGTCAGTATAGGATAGGGAGGGGCCCAAGTTATCTTCTGTGAAGAAAAGGGGAGGTGAGAACTTCATACTAGAAGGTGACCCAAAAGACTACTTAATACAGAGATTTACATAGCTAAATACACAGCTGTGCAACCATAAGGAAAATGTTTTCACATGGCATTAAGCCAGAGAGCTTTAGTCATTGGGGCTAAAATCTCCAGGATTTGGAAGGCAACCTTTCATAGAAAGCTACCGTTTTCATTCAGAGGAGAAAACCATAGCTTTCTACCCCCGTAGTGAAGAAGATCAAAGAACACAAATCATCATGACCATCCCCTCCACCAACAAAAACGAATCTTTTTCCATTTCATCTCTCAAAATACCTCTTCCTTCTCTAGCCATAAGGAAACAATTTCAGAATTTAAAGAGGGCAAAACTTTTCCCTAACCTCTAGTTGGAAGAGACTCTATGCATTTTGATTGTAAACCACAGGTCCAATGGTAAAATTTATGGCAACAGCAGTGAATAGTCATCCAACCAGAAAGTCTCTCTCCCTCTTCCTTTTTTGTATCACAGACCTCTTTGGTTGTCCAGCGAATAAAGATAAATGATAATGATAGCATTTACATAGAGCTTTGACATTTTCTTTCTTTTGGTGAGGCAGTTGGGGTTAAGTGACTTGCCCAGGGTCACATAGCTAGTAAGTGTTATGTGTCTGAGGCTGGATTTGAACTCAAGTCCTCCTGACTCCAGGACCAGTACACTGAGCCACCTAGCTGCCCCGAGCTTTGACATTTGCAAAGAACTTTACACACACACACATACACACCTACCTATGCAGAATATATATAAGGTGATTTGGGGAGGAGGTGTTAGTAGCTGGGGAATCAAGAAAGGCCTCCCCACCCCCCAGCCCTCTTATATCATGATCTCCTTTAGAGCAGAGATTGTTTCTTCCCTTTTTTTGTATCCCCAGTGCTTAGTAGGATGCCTGGCATATTATTACTGCTTAATAAATACTAGTAGACTCACTGACTAATTGGAAGGTCCAAGATGGCTTGAGGCAGTTAGATGGCACGATGGACAGAGTACTGGGCCTAGAGTTGGAAAGACCTCAGTTCAAATCTAACTTCAGACACTCACAGGTAGTATGACCTGGGGCGGGTCACTTAACCTCTTGTTTGTCTCAATTTCCCTATCTGTAAAATGGGCACAATACCAATACCTACTTTGCTAGGTTGTTGTGAGAATCAAGTGAGAATATTTGCAAAGCACTTAGCTCAGTGCCTGGTACATAGTAGGTGCTTAATAATTGCAATAAGCAATTTCTATTCCTTCTCCAGAGAGGTGAATATTGAGGTCTTTATAAAAGTATATCTTTTCCCTCAGAGGTGCAGTTATCTCTTATCTACAGTCTGATCTGTGAATTCTAAAGGTAAAAAGGGCAGTGTTTATCTAAGTTTAAAATAAACATTTTAACATTTAAACACAGCTAACTTCAAAGTTTCCCGTAGGATTGGACTTACCAGTGTGGTGTCAGGAAAGGCCGCGACTATTTCTAGAAATAGATCAGTAAATCTCCTAAGTTCTTTTGGCGACATGCCCTGAGGCTAGAGTCTGGGGGGGAAGGGGGGCTGGATTTGACCATTTGGCAAATCAGCTGTTACTTCCGATCGCTCCTGATATGTCACAAGGGTATCAGGTCTCCTTGCTGGAGCAGAAAGATTCAAGAGATCAGCTGTAGGAGCCAAGACCGCCATTGATGGCGTAGTTGGAGCCAAATGGAGCAGGGTCAGGGCAAGAGCTGCACTGCAGTGTTCATTCAGAATGTTCAAGCATCCAATGAGAACCTAGGGTCAGGTCTCTGGAAGTATCCCCTCGTGAGGACATTGCGGGCGTTGTGGCCATTCCTCTGGTTCGGTTCTGCTCCAGCTCGGCTGCCAGGTTTTTTTTTTTTAACTACAGGATTGTAGAGAGTGATATTAGAACACATTAGAAAGCCCCAGAGAAATAAAGCCAGCCTAAATGAAATCAGGCTTTTAAGCAGGCAGATTTTCATCAACAACATTACTTCTCTGGCTTATTTCCTGCCACCAGATACTTGATTCCTATAACATTGGAAATACTGGGCAGTTCTGATGAAAATATTGATAGTTTAAAAAAGAAAAACTTTCTCATCTTATAAAAGCACCTAGGCAGCTAGATGGTGCAGTAGGAGAAGCACTGGGCCTAAAGTCAGGAAGACCTGAATTCAAATCCAGCCTTATTTTCCTCATTTGTAAAATGGAGATAATAATAATACCTACCTTACAGTGTTGTTATGAGAATAAAATGAAGTAATACCTGTAAAGCACTTAACACAATGCCTGGCACATGGTAGGTACTTAATAAATGCTTATTCTCTCTGTCCCTTCCTTGTAAAATGAAAGACTTAACCAAGATTGCCCCTAATGTTCCTTCTGGCTCTAGATCTGTGAGTTTCTGTTCTCCCTCCACTTCTCTCTCTCCCTCCCCCCCACCCCCACACACCCCATCTTGCTTTCTCTCTGATTGTCTTACCTAGGGCTGAAAGTCAAACATCCTACTTCAATATCTAACTCTGAGAAGTAAATAAAGAAGGATATTGCAATAAAATAATGTCTAGAAGAACTTCCATGTGGGAACTGCCTCCTCCTGGATAAGCCCCAGGGAGTTAATTGAGGTTAAGTGACTTTTCCTGGGTTGCACATCTAAGAAGTGACAAGTCTGGATTTGAACCCAGGGTTTCCTGACCAGGTTCAAAGAACAACATTCTAACCACTGAGTACATATTTTAAGTATACCAGAGTGGATGCACACAAATGAGTGACTTCTTTCAATGGAACCATGTAACAAACTGATACTACCATTGCCACACAGTTATAGATCCCCTCTTTTAGAACTGGCTTCTGAACCATTTGACTAAATATTCAAGAAACCCAGTCAATCAACAATCTTTTATGTGGTACCTACTGTGTGCAAGGCCCTGTGCTAAGCACTTTACAATTATTATCTCTTTGACCCTCACAACAACCCTAGAGGTAGGTTCTGTTTTTATTCCCATTTTACAAAGGGGAAAAGTGAGACAAATGGAGGTTTAGACTTGCCCAGGGTCACACAGCTAGTAAATGGCTGAGGCCAGGTTGGTCTTCCTAACTGTAGACCCAGTATTCTATCCACTAGACCAGCAGCTGCCAGGAACTGTGGTAAGTGCTGGGGTTACAAAGACAAAAGTAAAACAAAACACACCTTCTAGAACCTTATAATTCTAATATCCACCTTCAGAAAACTAAGGCCTGAGAGATTAAATGATCTGTCCAAGGTCACATAGTGATATGTAGTCAGTGATAGCCTCCTCTCATTTTGACCAGATAGGGTCAATGTTACTCAGCTTGACCACTCATTTTGTTCATTAGATTTTGGGACTGCTTCTCAAAAAGTCAAATCCATCTGCTAAAGATGAAAATGGGCCCCTTTTTTTAGGATATTCAAAGAAAAGCACCCCAAGATGTGAAGACAGTTCCAAAGGAGTGGGTCTATAAATGTATAGTAATGGTGGCAAGGGTAGACCCTCTCAAGGGGAAAAGCTTTGTAGACCCTCTCAAAGGGCTTTAAGGCCATCCTCATGTAAATGTGTGAACTCTGGCATGCTAAATTTCAAGTCTATAACCTTAGATGCATTGCTATACTTTAGCCATGAAGAACCTTATCCAGCTATAAGGGTTAGAATGGAGATCACGGTGAGGAAGGTGGAGGCTGTTCAGGAAAATGGCTGCCCAATCAGGAACCTAACTTAGACCCCAAAGATTTCAAAGCAACTTTAAAATGCTAGGATGAGGGGAAAAGGCCAGTATCTGCATTCTACATTTCATTCCAGAGGCATGATTTGGTAACCCTTCAAATTCTGCCATGAATTGATTTCCACATAGTGGCTTGCCAGAATTGAGGTTGTATCTTCTCTCTGGTCACCTGCTTAGATGTCAGTGTTACAGCCAAAGTCTTCATACCACATCCTTATCACAACTGACAAGGTTTAATTTAGCGAAACAGAATCAGAAGGAAGCAGTATTTGAAATAGAGCTACCCTCTGTTTCTCCAGCCATTATCATAGTCATGTCATTGTCATGAGACCATCCCCCTGCCTGGATCAGGACAGTTCTACTCAACTAATCTTTAAATTCTTTCTTAGACTTCTCATAGATTGCCTGAGGTTGATTACCTAGTTTCAAAAAGCAGGATGAAGAGAGAGAAATAGATGTATCCAAGCTTTTGCTGTGTGAGAATACCTTAACCACAAGCAGTGTGCTATGGTGGATAGAGAGCTGGCTTCTGAGTCTGAGTGAAAGACTAGAGTTTAAGAACTGCATCCCCCAGGCAATTCTCCAATACTGTCAACCCCACAGTAAGTGCTGATTTGCACTAGAGAAAGGAGTTTCCAGTGAAATCACAAATTTTCTCTCCTCTTCCCCCCCAAAAAAAAAAAAAAGAAACCCATAGCATAAAATCAGTTCAAGTCTTGTCTTAGGGTCAATGGATAGAGTGCTGGGCCTGGAATTAGGAAGATGTGAGAGCAAATCCAGCCTCAGACATATACTAGCTGTATGACCTTGGGCAAGTCACATAACCTCTGCCTGCTTCAGTTTCCTCATCTGCTAAAAGGAGATAATCATAGCACCTACTTGTGAAGATCAAATGAGATAATATTTATTAAGTACATTTCAGCCCTTAAAAAGCTATATAAATGCTAATTATTAGTAGTAGTCATAATGAGTAATTACTAGTAATATTTTCATTCTCAATTAATAATCATAATCAGTAGTTATTAGTATTATTAGCTATTAATAGCTGTTGACGTAACTATTAAGTACCCTAGACAGTTCTCTAAGCTTCTAAATTACAAACAAGTTCCTAGCCTGTGCTCACAGAAGGTGTCCTCTGCATTAATGGAATCACAGGCCTAGATCTTCCCAAAGCAAGACAAAACCCATACCTTAGATAACTTCTAACAAGGGGGATTAATAGTTTTTAAATGCCCTTTGAAGGAGAAACAGCAAATTTACACCACTACAGTTGGGTCTAGTACAGGGGTGGGGAGCCTGCGACCTCGAGGACACATACACTCTTCTAGGTGCTTGAGTATGGCCTTTTGACTGAGTCCAAATTTTACAGAACAAATATTTCTATTAAGGGGATTTGATCGGTGAAGTTTGGATTGTAGCCTCGAGGCCATATGTGGCCCTCTAGGTCCCCAAGTGCAGCCCTTTGACGGAATCCAAACTTCACAGAGTAAGTCCCCTTAATAAAAAGATCTGTTCTGTAAAATTTGGACTCAGTCAAAAGGCCACACCCAAAGACCTAGAAGGCCATGTGTGGCCTCAAGGCTGCGCTGTAGTAGAAGATATCAGAACCTTTCATCCTTGCATTTATAATAAACTAACAAATGGGGGGGGGGAAAGTACATACTGTAACAAATGAAACTCAGTTATAATATTTTAGACAAATAAGCTTTTGGACAGAATTGATGGCATTTGGTTACCATAGGACCTATGATTTCAGTAAAGTATGTTCTGTGTGTTACTAATAACAAATTGCTTGAAATGATCGATTGAGACCATTTCTCTGGGATTTTGACAAAATGATATGGGTAAACTTTAAACAGAGAATTTAAGGACACATTATTACAAAAATAAAGTGTGTGTATATGTGTTTGAATGTTTTTGTTGCATTATTATTTTTCTTTTAGGGTGAAAAGGGAGCCATGGGAGAGCCCGGACCCAGGGGACCTTATGGTTTGCCTGTGAGTTGACTATAACTTTCATTAGTCCATACATTGATGAAATGTCATTTATTTTCCCAGTCATTTTCTTGAGCAGCAGGATAATCATTCAAGGAAAACAGTAAAATAATCATGTGAAATGCAGCCCTAATTATGCCTGTTTCTTTCAGCAATACCATTATTCTTTCTTGAGCTCAGAGAGAGAGAGAGAGAGAGAGAGAGAGAGAGAGAGAGAGAGAGAGAGAGAGAATGGAAAACACCAAAGATTATCACTGGAACAAACCAGGCTAATGTGCAATCTGGGGTTCAGGTTATTTCTAATTCTTCACTTGTAGCATTTGATTTGACTAGGTGCCCATCATTAAAAGTTTAGTGCATAAAAATTAGACACAGATATTCTACCAAGAAATTAGAATTTAACAGCCTTACTATTTATTCAGTTTATTTTATCCAGTTAGTTTTAAAGAGGCTAACACTGAATAGCATTAAGCATGTTATACAATATGTTATATAATTTAAAAATGGGCTTTTCCAAAATCATTCATGTTAATGCTCATTTCTCCATTTCTGTCTTGTAGTGGGGCCCTAGACATCAGCACCCCCAGTCCTCACAGCTCCAAGAGGCTTGAATATACAGGCCTTGAGGACTTTGCTTGACCCACAGATCTAAGTCCACAATGCCTCACTACAAATGTGAAGAAAAAATTATCCTTAGAATAAGAAGAGGTCCCTTGGGAAAGCTAAATCTAACACATCAATATCTTTTCATTTCTCTTCTGAAAATTCTCAGGCACATGGAAGTAAAATTATAAAGCATACAATGAAATTTTTATAACTATAGCTGATGCAAGAGTATTTTGTTAAAATTATTGACAAACATACAAAATATTGCTAAAATATGATCAAGTTTTTTGTTTGTTTTACTCTACATATATCCCTTCTTTTTTAATTAAAAACAATTAAACAATTGTTTAAAATTTTTCAAAAAACAAGAACAATTTTAAAAAACAAAACAAAATTTGAACTATGACCTTAACACATTCTGATTTTTAAATAAATCACCAAGTGATTGGTGGAGGCAAAGCAGATTTCTTGCTGAAATTGAATGGATCACTAAACTTGACAATGGAAGCACATTGTTTTAATAGTATGTACTATACTATAAGAAAAGATGGATTGATCATCACTGGGCAACCAGGTTGTGATTTCTTTTATCTTTGGCCAGCATTTATTTACAAAATCTGCTTAAAAAGCAGCATTTTTAAAACTTTCTCCCTTCACGTCCTTTTCATTTACAGAGAGACCAGAAGTACGTCTAGAACAAAAATCGATATAACATTAGCAATGAAACACGTTTCCCGTCCTTCACTGTGAGGGAGCTAGAATCTTACTCATTTAGAGGCAGCTAGAAGGTACAGAGGATAGATAATAGGACTTGGAGTCAGGAAGACCTCAATCCAAATTTTGTCCCCCAAAGTTATGAGTTATGTGACTGTGGTCAAGTCTCTTTACTGATATCTGCCTTGGTTTCCAGTGAAAATGGGGCTAAAAAGAGCACCCACCTCCCAGGGTTATTGTGAGGATCAAATAAGGTAACATTTGTCAAGCATTTTACAGAATTTAAAGCACTATATATGTTAGCTATTATTATTATTCCATGCTAAAGATATGCAGAAGCATTAAGAAGCACATACACTCAGAATTTGACATGGCTTTAAAATGACTGAAGTTTTACCCCGTAAAATCAACTCCTGGAATAATGACTTTGTCACCAAGCTTCAAAACCAGAAAAAAGTTCACAGTCAATTTGATTTCTGAACATCATAAAAATGCAATCAACTTGTGGAGCTTTAATATAAAAGTGTGTAACATTTGTAGGAATTATGAATCATCATCTTTCACTTGACTAGTGGAAGAAATGTGTGGCAGTTCAAAAGCCCAGCTTCTGTGCTTCCAATGTAGTCATTTTGATACTTGTGTGCTCGCATGCTAGCACAACCATCCTGAGTAGGATGTGTCCTGAGTACAGAAAACAATAGCCTAAGCTTAGGAACAATAATGTAGTTCATATGGTTCTTTGGCAGGGGAAGGATGGAGAGCCTGGTCTTGATGTAAGTAAAACTTACAGTAAACATATGACAATAGTAACAGATACTACTGGTGTGCTTCGTGGCTATAACAGCATGGATATTGCTTATTTATTTACCATTCACTGTGCATACTAGGAATTTAGAGAGTGATGTGAAATGTATTACAAGTGTTTGTGTGTAATGAATATAGGACAAGGACACGATTAGAGGGAAGAAAGTTAACATAGGGTAGTAAACAGTAACATTTTAAAATTACTTTCCAAAATAGAAATGGTATCATGGAAAAACTGCTAGATTTGGAGTTAAAAGCCTTAATAATGCCGGTAGAATCTGGCCTAATCACTGAACCTCTGTGGGCCCAGTTTTCTAATCTGGATGTGAGGAGGTTGGACTTTATGACCTCTGAAGTTCCTCCCAACTTTTCATCTATGAGCCAGTGATTTAAAGCTAGTGCTCAGCGCACAGCAGTTGCCTAATAAGAGTTGACTGGGTTAAACTGAATTGGAACTAGAGAAAGCTTACTTAGGATTTTACTGGTGGAGTCAGAGCTAGGTTATGTAAAAGAATGCACAAATAGAAACACTGTGCACATGAGATGATTCAAAGTTGTCCATGTGGTTTATGTCACCATTATTAATATCATTATTAATTGTAATTAACATTATTAACAATAATAGTTGACACATAGGTTGTTTTAAGGTTTACAAAGCTTTATATACATTATCTCAAAAATTCTTCAGCTTCTTCTTAATGCAAGCTTAACTTAAATTGCATACCATCCCCAGTTTATATCTCATAAAATATATTAACCACCTCCAGTCCAGCATCCAGCATTTGTTAAGCACCTACTATATGTGAGGCACTATGCTAGGGACTGTGAATACACAAAAATGAAACAGTCTCTGCCTTCAAGGAGCTTACATTCTATTGAATGCATTGAATTGAATACACAAGTTGAGACAGATTATGAAGAAAAGCCAGGAGGCTGTTAGAATTCATTGAAAAGCATCTTACAGGAGCTAAAGGGAATTTTGAGAAGTTAAAGAAAGTGATCCGATTTGCATAAATGGTTCGACAGTTGCCATTTTGTAAAGTAAATTTTGCAAACCTTAAAACGCTATAGTAAGGTCAGCTATTATTATTGCTGTTGTTGTTAATTTGATCTTGAAAGGGATACCCTTAACTCTTTCTGTGTCTGTAGAAAAACAATAAATCTGAATGTTTTCCCCAACATAATTGTCACACATTAGACCAATGGATACTTTTGGTTTTGTTTGTTTTTCTTTTTTTCCTACAGGGTTTTCCCGGTCCTCGAGGAGAGAAGGGTGATTTAGGAGAGAAAGGAGAAAAGGTGACTTTGAGCTGCGGACATTGCTTCATTTTGTTTCATCCTATTCCATCCATTCCCTCTTGTTTTCCCAGCCTCGTAACTATCTCTCATGCTTAGTCTTTTCCTCATCCTGTGTGCCAAAAATAAGTAGACACTAGAACCTACAAAGTCAAGTCTCAGAGGGAGATGAGAGAAGCCTGTGTGGTCAAGCGTTGTTAATGCTCTCTCTGATGAAGGCTACATTTTAACCCCTGTTGTCCTCATCAGACTGTATTTTCCCCAGGCTTTGCTCTGAGACTTAGTAGGTAGGCGCAGACTCTAGCAAATGAAGGCTAATGACCTTGACTGAGTCATTGAATGGAGCTAAATTGTATTCTTTAGTGATGCTTTTTCTGGCATGGATTCCATCTCCATGACATAAACCCCTTTGAATGAAAAAGAAGAGCTACAGTTCTATTTTTCAGATAGGGAAAGTAAAAAGCAGGCTGGATAATTAAATTGTAAAATTAGTTTGTGTTGGCTTAGGAACCAGGCTTTCCCAATTTCTGAAGTTTCAATGAAAAATAGAGTTTTAAAATGAGAAACCTGAAATGTTTTATAGTTGATAACGATCAGGTTCTGTATCACTGATATCAGAATCAGGTTTTAGAAATTCAAAGAGCATGGCCTAATACTTGTCACTTGCTAGCTGTGTGACCCTGGGCAAGTCACTTAACCCCATTGCCTGACCCAAAAAAAGAATGAAAAAAAGAAATTCAAAGAGCAGAGAGAAGTTTTCATGACTTTAGCTGTAACAGGGAGTAACAAATATAGGCAACTTTAGCAAAAACGAGTAGTATCAGACTCCAATAACCTGTATAAAAACCTTCCAAATTTATACTGCAGAGATGTAGGACTGTTTCTGTCTTGCCTTATCCCGACATCAATAGTGTTTGTAACAGCATTAACTGTTTAAAAAAAGAAGAAAAAGAATTATGAATTGGGGAACACTTGATGTCTATTTTTTTTTCTTTTTCTGGCAGTAGTTTCAGTTGCAGTATGGAATCACGGTAGTTTAAATGGTGGGTGCATGTGTGTAGCTGTCCACTACTAGTGCTGTATTTTATTCAGCAGTCAAAATCATCTGGTACCACCTGTCCTTCAGGGACTCTGGCTCTGGTGAGTATATGTATGTCAATATTACTGGATTTCAGACAGTAATAAATTAAACAAAAAAAATTAAATGTCAGAGAATTAAAAGAAAACATGGGTTTTTTTGTCTCTTCCACCTGTCCTATCATTTTATTAGGCATGTCCTAGGACCAAAAAGTTAACCTGGCTATAAACATAGATGTCTAGTTTAATTTTCAACTGTTCATAGAGAAAGTAGTCATCATAGTGAGAGATTAGCTCACTTAAAATACAATGTTCAATCCTCTAACTTAAAATAAACATAAAAATAGTTAGCATTTATATGACTCTTTAAGGATTACAAAGCATTTTACATATTTCTCACTGGAGCCTCATAACAACCCTGAGAGATAGATGCAAATTAAAAGGGTTCTATTATTTAAAAAAAAATGAGTTTGTATTTTAAATCTGTAAATATTGTTCAAAAGGCGGTGTGATACAGTGGATAGAAGACTTGCTTAGGAGTCAAAAAGACTTGGGTTCGAGACCTGGCTCTGATACGTACAAAGTTATTTGATGGCAAGCCAGTGAACCTTTCAATGGCCCAGGCAACTTTGTAAGACAAGTTACCTTCACATTACAAATTGCTTTTAAACAGCTCTGCGTTCTTGCTCTCAAATGATTCTGCTGGACTGAATCAAGGTAGCAAGGGTAATTGCATCAGGATCTGAATTATCTAAGAGAAAAGAGAATATTTTAATTTATACTATAAAAATGACTCCTTAGGGCAGATAGGTGGCACAGTGGATAGAGCACTGGCCCTGGAATCAGGAGGACCTGAGTTCAAATGCGGCCTCAAACATATGCTGCTTACTCGCTGTGTGACCCTGGGCAAGTCACTTACCCCCTTTCCCTAGCCCCCCCCCCAAAATGGCTTTTCTAATCTCCTGAATCATATGTTTAATTGTTTTACAACTTTTTGTTTTTTCACCTGTACAATACAGCTGCCTGCTCATCTTACTGGAGAGATTTTCCGCACCAGGAGGTTCTCCAATTTAATGAAAGTACAGTCTTTATGTATGCATTTATGTGAGGGAGGGAGAGAGAGAGAGAGACAGGCCTAAAGTCAGGAAGACTCCTTTTTTTGAGTTCAAATCTGAACTTGGACAATTACTAACTGTGTGACCCTGGGCAAGTCACTTCACCCTGTTTGCCTCAGTTTCCTCACCTGTAAAATCAGCTGGAGAAGGAAATGTTAAACTGCTCCGGTATCTTTGCCAAGAAAATCCCCAACGGGATCGCAAAGAATTGTACACAACTAAACAACAACAGCACAGTCTTTGAATATTTTAGAATTTCTAGGACTGGAGTAACAATTTTACCTTTGGGAGAATTGTAGGCTAAACCTGAATGGCTTGCATGTGCCTCAACCCTCAGCCCGGCATATGGAAATTAGCAATGGCAGGCACCTACTCTACCTCTGGGGACAGATATTTTAAGCTCCACAGAAAGACACTGCAGATTTTCAGTATTTTGTAGTGATTGACAGTGACAGTGATGCCTCAGCCTTTGTATAGTAATGCCTCTTTCCCCTGGAGGCTGAAGCAGGCCAGAGGCTTACTGTCTGGTCTGATTCCCAAACCCTTTCCCCACTGGCATTCATTTGGCAACCTCGAGCTCTAGGGTTGGATAGGCTGGGTCCAACCTACTTGAATTATCAAAATAACATAAAATGAAATCTGCAGTTTCCATGACGTCTGGTCATGGTCACACATAGCACATGGCGAATTAGCTATGACTCAGGAGGTGAGCTGTGTAACACCAAATCAGTTCTCTTTTCAGGATGGGGATAGGGACCGGACTGGCAATTTCATTGCCATAGAGATCTCTCTGCCAGTGCAGGTTGTCATCTTTTCTGCAACCTACAGTCTTAGAATAGGGTAGCTAGATGGCACAGTGGATAGAGCCCTGGGCCTGGAGTCAGGAAGACTCGTCTTCATGGGTTCAAACACTTGCTTGTTGTGTGACCCTGGGCAAGTCACTTAGCCCTGTTTGCCTCAGTTCTGCATCAATAAAATGAGCTGGAGGAGGAAAAGGCAAACCACTCCAGTATTTTGCCAAGAAAACCTCAAAGGGGTCACAAAGAGTCAGACGTGAAAATGACTGAACAAATAATCTTAGAGTCGCTTAAAGGGCTGAGAGGTCGCCATCACACAGTGTCAGAGGTAGGACTTGAACTCAGGTCTTCCTAGCTCTCTATCCACTTTGCTGCACTTTAAAAAAAAAGTATTTGCTAAACAAGGACATTTACTTTGCAAGACTGAACAGTCTTAAAACGTTATTCCCATTATCCTTACTTGGTGTATTTGCTTTCCTAATGACCCAACCTGTGACTCCTGTCTTTGTTCAGAGACAGCCGACTCACAGAATTTCTCATCTCTTCCCAGTATTAAAGTAAGACATATTTCCCGTCGACTTTGCTTTGAAGCCTTTTGGTGAATCCTTTTTGGCACCCAGGAGCCAGATGAGGAACTTTGCACTCACCCTCTGGCAGAATTAATACATATACTTGGATATTTCTCTATAGTACTTCGTTCTCCCCATTTATGTGTTCTTCTTTGATGAGTCTGATTATTTGCTTCAGCATTTATTTTAAGCCTAATGTCATTATATAGCCTGATTGCAAAACCAACACACTAATCTAAATGTAGAAATTCATTCCATCTCGTGTTCTCCTTTAAATACTGATTTGCTTTATGAATTATTTTTAAAGTGTTAAAAGCTGCCTCTGCCTTGCATATAGATTATCCATTTGTTTTTGCCTTGGTGAAAACTGTTGATTATCTATTTGCTGGCTATGTTTCCCTATCCAGAGGTGCATTCTTTCCTTTTCCTCTTTTTGCTGCCTTTCCTGAAAATTCCTCCATCCAAACAATCCTTCTTGCCAATTAAATTTCCTACCACCTCTACCTTGACAGCTGATACTAATTTCCTATGGCTACTATTCCACCTCATAATCATCCTGACTCCATTTTTTTTGTATTAGTACCACTGAGTCCACCTTGCTTTTCCTATTTTAAACAGAAAGACTTTTGCTTTTGCTAAATTGAGAGTAAGCCAGAAACCCATTTACCACTGTGATTATCTGGCAAGGGATCAGTGGAGAAATAAACTGGGGGAAAAAGACACACATACAACCTGAGACTTATAAATATTCCTGATGCTTTAATTGGCCTTCAGGAAAATAAATAAATAAAAAGAAAGCATTTTCAGTGACTTGTTTCAGTGACCCATCCATGAAAGCCACACTAGCTTTTGGAAAAAGGGTCCTATTGTTAATAGAGTCTGTGACTAAATACCCGTATGGTTTAAGATATTGAACAATTTTTAGATGGCCTTATAAAATGGTACCAACAGTTGGGAAACAAAGCAAAAACATCTGGCAATGTTTCTGAAAGTTAGAGGCTGTGAGCATTCTTTCCAGTATGCCTAGATTAGCACAACATCAGTCTGTTGGGGCAAGGTTAAAAATGTCCATTCCCACAAGTGAGGAGTGTTCATCGAAGGAGCCAGCCTCCCCGGGGACTTCATTGGCCACAATTAGTGGGTCCTTATGGGACCCACTCATTGTCTTGCACCCGAAAAGATTTGACTATCACCCCATTATTGTTTACGTCAGCCCAGCTAGGCTATGTGTCACTGAAACATTTCATCCTTAAGGCTGCTGTGGATGGTGTAAACACCAGCATTGTCCTTCTGGTTTGTCAGTCTGTCAGTTCTACGCTTCAAGATTGCTTAAATCTCTCAAACCAGGCCCAGGACCCATCTGGGCAGCTGGTGTGGTCTACTAGTACAATTGGGTTTTCCACATTCACCCCATCCAGAACAGAGTGGTAAATGTCTGTCCAGGCTTCTGTTGGCTAAAACTGTCCTTTAAATATATTTATATTTTTTACCACCATCTCCCCCCAAAATGAAATCTGTTTTATCCAAACTATTGTGTCCACAGGGGGAAAAGGGAAAGAAAGGCAAAAAGGGGCCCAAAGGGGAGAAAGGAGAACAGGGTGCCCCTGGATTAGATGCACCTTGCCCGTTGGTATGTTTCATTCATAGAAGTCTGTCCTGATGTCTAGCGTAAAATAAGATATAGAATAAAACAATAGGAGAGGAGCATACTGGAAGTATCTTGCTATAGTCACTTATTACAGATGTTAATTGGTCCTAAGGAACCTGCTCTTATCACAGGATTGTTTCTTCTCAAGCCTAGTACCTTGAGTGTACTAATCCTAAAGTATTGTTTTTAAAGGGACCCCCAAACACACAGGTAAGACTGAAAGAGATCACAGCATAGGCTGAATGGCATCTCAATCTGGTGCTTAAAAAAGGGCAGTCATTTAAAAGACTAACCCCTTCATGGAGCTGTGCAAAAGTCTCATTCCCATCTACCAGCCATTGAAAGCTACTCCAGAATTGCTCCTCTCCTGGTCTTCTACGGCTACAAATTCTTGTTTCCTTCTGCAGCCTCAGTGCTTAAAGATGTTTCTTTTGTCAGTAATGTTACAAGTCAATCTTCATCAAACAGGGATTCCGTGGAGTTAAGGGGGAGAAGGGGGAGCCGGGTCAGCCTGGCCTGGATGGCCTGGATGCCCCTTGCCAATTGGTACAGTATTTCTCTTTCCTACCACCCTGCATGTGGTTCCTTTGTGTGATCACACACCTGTCTCTAGCGATGTAAAGCAAGCCTTTCTGAAGCAAGCTTTACATGTTCGACCTATTGACATGCATGTGCATGGATCATTTGGCTCCTCCAGAGACTAATGCAAGCTCGAGAGAACTAGTGGGTTTGGGGTTTTTTTTTGTTTTTATCAGTGAATTAACTCCCTGGTCTTTTGCTTACACTTGACATGGCCACCATATTTCTGTGTCCTTTGACATAGGCCATAAACATTACTTTCTTATAATTTAATTTTTTTTTCTTTAAAAAGATGAAAAATAAATCTTTATCTTGATCAGCAAGCTCCTGTCTATTTGGGGGAAAGAGCAAGCTGTCCAAGTTAAGCTTTAAGATTCTACTTTCAGTTTACTTTTTAAGAGTGGAATAGAAGGAAGAGATGAAACACCTGATGGGACAGATCATCTCTACCCAGAAACCTCATGGTTTGCCTTGTTTTATCCCCTTCAGCAAACCTATGTCTCATTTACCAGTGACTCCTTCAGATTTCAGGCTTCCATATCTCACTCCAAATTTCTAGATTTTACTGAACTCCTGACTCCCTACAGGGGAAAAATGTTTTAAAAAATCTTCCTTATAGATAGGTGGTATAGTGTTTAGAGAGTTAGACTTAGGGTCAGGAAGACCTGAATCTAAATCTTGCCTCCAACACTTACTAGTCGTGAGATCCTGAACAAGTCATTTCCCTTTTCTCTATCTCTGGTTCCTCGTGTGTAAAATGAGGGGGCTCAGCTAGAAGACTGCAGATCGAAGTCCCTACTTCCCAATAACAGCAAACCCCCTCATACAATTTAAGATAGGAGGCACTGTTAAGTGTTAAAAGTTAAAAAAAAAAAAGGGCAGCTAGGTGGCACAGTGGATAGAGCACCGGCCCTGAAGTCAGGAGGACCTGAGTTCAAATCTGACCTCAGACCAAACACTTGACACTTACTACCTGTGTGACCCAGGGCAAGTCACTTAACCCCAATTGCCTCACAAAAAAAAAAAGCAAAAAAACAAAAACAAAAAATGGAGGGCCCAGGCAGAAACTCCTACAACAACCTAGGCTCATTCATGTAGAGATATGTTACCTTAAGCCTACCAAGGCCTGGGAAAACTTATTCCAAATATATATGTGTGTGTGTGTGTGTGTGTGTTGTGTGTGTGTGTGTGTGTGTGTGTGTGTATACAGGTGTGTATGTGCATATATATGTATGTATGTGTGTATGTATATAGATCCCAGCTTAAAAGGGCCCTCTCCATCTTGGCCCTAAATTTCTACTTGCCCCTCATTGGTGCATTCCACACACACCTTTCCGTGTCAGGAATTTCAGACCTTCATGCTTCTCACAGTTTATCAGGAAATGCCCAAGCTCCCATCCTAAGCAAAGATGTTCACCTTCTTATCTTCCCCTGTGTCACTAGTCTGACTGGTCCGTAGTATAAGCAGATTCTCTTGGTCAGTGCAGCCCATAATGGGGATAAAAATCTCCTCTTCCACCTATGCCAGGGTCCCCTGACTTGGGCCTATGAATCCATATTCCTCCTAACATATTTCCCTCCCTAATTATAAAAACTCCCAGGTCGGCCCACTCTTGCTTCCCAGGATTGGCTGAGCTAATCCCAATAGAGGGCCAATAGAGGTTGGACGCTCTTACTCATCTCCTACTTCAAGTGTGATAAGTCTGAGGCCTCCTCTGGACACTGCCCATCTTGGGGTGGATCTGACAGACTAGTGTTGTTAGCATTATTACATATAAGAATTCAACGTAATAATGAAATAACAACATAGTCTTTCTGCCCAAAAAAATTGACAGGATCATTTCATCATCCTTCTAAAGATGATAATGGTCTGCAGCCCAAATACCTCGCTCACTTTTTTGCTTAACATTTCCAATTTAATGGTCTCTCCTTTTAGAACTTACTTGACAAAGTCCATCACACTTCCTTACTCTCTGTTAACATGAACCCCAGTTCCTCTTTATACTAAAATTCTTCCATTCATCCTTTTCCTGGTACCAATCTGGCAATGCTAAAAATTTTTTCCCCATACCTAAAGATATTTTTAAGGATTTGGGGGGGTTTTTTGGTTACTTTTTGTTATTTTTACTTTCAAAAGAAGAGTATTTCCTGAAGTCTCCTATTCTATAATTAGGTTGGGGCGGGGAGGGTTATACTTGGTCTGCATGTTATTTTATGATTTGTTAGCTAAGCACGTTTCTGTAAAGGTGAACGCTCCTAAGATCAGATTTTTCAGAATAGACCATATTAATTTTCTACTTAGAGAATTATGATAAAAAGTGTCCAATCTTTTCTTTTATTTGCCCTGGATCTTTCATGGTTATCCTTCATGGGGAAAACACAAGCATGCTTTTATAATATACCAAAGGTTATGGTCTTGGTAATATCATTTGTGTCTGGAGCATGTCTATACTTATAAGCAGAATGGATTTTGGAAGAGAAGAAAAGGTCCCTGCACATCAAAAATTAGATGACTTCTCAGTCAAATTTAACAAGTGAGGAACCTAGTGGATATTTAATACCTACTAAATTTCTAATAGATGGGATGCTGTGCAGTGTACCAAAAGTGTACAAACAATGGTGTGCTAAGAAATGTTTACAACCAGCTCCCCAGAGGAAGAATATTCACCTACACTTTTATGTTTGATCTGCATTACTTAAATTTTCTCCATCACTTTCTCAAGTTTAATTATTAAAACAATGAATCAAAACCTGCTTTTTAGCATTTGCCGATTTCTGAGATGTAAATGCCCGCACTGAAAATTGAACAATTGACTCTCCCAAGCCAAATTCAAGCTGGCTCCAGCACACCTGTATACAGATAAGGAATGGAGAACAGAATTTTTTGAGTGCAGTATTACTTTTAATTCAATTAGATGAACAGGTTCTACTGTGATTAAGGATCTAAAGAGGGAAAAATTAAAATGAAAGAAGTATGATCTCAAGTATTCTGTGAATTATAAGCTTCGGATAGAAATGATAAGGCATTGATCATTTATCATTATCATGCATAGACTATTCTGATCAGGTAGATGAATCAGAAGCTTAATAAAGATAATGAAATGATAAGCACATTCCAATTACAGCTGCAGTACAGCACTTGATATTTAAAGATGAGGCCATGATGAGCCATACTATAATTTGTCAATTTCTTAGTGTGCTTTAAAAAATCGTTATGTTTTTAGTTCATTTTATCTGTTAAGTTATAGCCATTCCCTCTTCTAGAGGAAATTTGAATTTCCTTTATCTTAATTGAAATGGTATATGCTACTTAAAGAAATCCTAGTAAAAAAAAAAATAAAGGAAGAAGTATAGACTCAGACTTTAGGGTTAGAGCAGCCATTTTTTTAAGCCTTTGAGCATGACTATGAGGTTCTCTCTCCTGTGGGGGGTACTGAGAAATGTCCTTGTTGTTCTCCTTGGAACAGGGGCCGGATGGATTACCGATGCCTGGGTGTTGGCAAAAGGTAAGATCAAAGGAGTGTTTCTATTAAGATGGCTTCTCCCTTTGCTTTGAGATGGACTAAAGCTTTCTGGACTTTTTCCATGCATTTTAAAGCAACCTTCACAAGCATGAAGTTGAGTCTCTTCTGGAGAAATGTCTTTATGCAAGCTTGTTTAGAGGTTATTGATCAGAGGGCCGCACTAAACAGAGATGTGAAACAGTCCCTGATTCTCACCAGTTACATTCATTAGGAACTACCCTTTTTGAAGCTGTTTTGGTCATGGAAACAGGCAGTCCATCTTAATAGTAACTGTTTGCCTCTCCCCCAACATTTCTTTGACTAAAATATTCCCAATTTCTGTCAATTTATACATATTTAACAGCAGTGGGTAAAACATTGCTTGATAAATCACTGGGTTTGAAAATGGTAGAACTCTATCAGTCTGATCTATAAAGCAGTGCAAGTAGACAATTTAAAAACTTCAGTGCTACATTGATTGTTGGATGAGAGTCAGATAAAGTTAAGATGTTTTTTAAAGGCATGTGACCTGTCATTCAAAGAATTATAGAGTTAGAGCTGGAAGGGAGCTCAGAATTCATCTAATCTGACCCCTCATTTTACAGATGGGGAAACTGAGGCCCAATAAGGTTATTTAATTTACTCAAGTTCTTTTGGTAGCAAGTGGAAAAGATGGAACTCCAGAGCCAGCTTTCATAACACCATATTATTAGTTCCACTGATTTTGTCTATACATTAAAAGAAAAGGCACTGGTATATAGTGGAACAAAAGTGACCCTTAATTGAGAATTCCATTTGGAGAAGTGGTGGTGCTGACTTGTTTTACCTGTAAGCACTGTTTAGTTAGGTGGCAAAATGGATAGAGTGCTGAGCCTAGAGTCAGGAAGACTTGAGTTCAAATGTGGCCTCAGACACTAGCTATGTGACCCTGGGCAAGTCCCTTAATGCTGTATGCCTCAGTTTTCCTCACCCGTAAAATGAGCTGGGGAAGGAAATGGCAAACCACTTCAGTATCTTTGCCAAGAAAACCCCAAGTGGGAAGAGTTGGACATGAGACAGCAAGAATAACAACAACACTTTAATTATACTGTACGCTGCCAACTAAAAATGCCCCTTGTCATTTAAGGGAAGGTCTCTGAGCCCAGGCCAATGCTTATTATGTCTCTAGAACTTTGAGGTAGCTCAGTGGCAAAGTTGTAGAGTATTGGAGCTGAGTCAGGAAGAAACAGCTTTATACTCAGTCTCAAATGCTTTCTAGCTGTGTAGATCCTAGATCCTGAGCAAGTCATGTAACCTCAGTTTCTTTATCTTTAAAATGAGGATAATAATAGCATGTACCTCCCAGATCAAATGAAATATGTATTAAACACTTCGCAGACTTTACAAATTCAAAATCCATCTTTTTGCCCTCAATCACCACTGTGTGGACAAACTGCTCCAATAAATATGCTGTGTTTAGCGAGATGAACATGGAAAATATCCAAAACAGCTTGGACTTTTTAACTATTTAATTAATCTTTTGTTTCAAATCTGTATCCTAGCTCGAGGCAAGAGTTCACATACATAGAATGTTTGCTTATGTTAAAAGACCTTGCACCTTCCTGGCTTTGAAGAGATAGCTTTGAAAATATAAAGTACTCGGAGTAGATGTAAGCCTCTGAAAGTCTTTCTTTTCATTTTTAGTATCCACCTGATGCTGGCATTTTTTCATAAAAATAATTCCACTAAATTCTCTGTATGGTTAATGTGGGTAGCAGTACTGTGAAACGCAAACCCAGAGTAAATATACTTGTTAAGTCATTTAATAAAATGTAATAATGATTTGATCCATCAAAAGAGGGCTGATTTCATCCAACTTTCTCTACCCTATAGATGGCAACCCTTCTTCATCTTAGTCTTTGGAGTCCACAACATTCATCATCTGTCACTATAAGTTATAAAGTAGAGCAGGAAGAAAATTTAAAGCTAATAACCTCTTTTCCCCTTTGATCATCTGATGGCTGGCCTGCTGGTGCTGAGGCTCTTCAAAATTAGCTATACTGCTTCTTGGACAAGCAATCTGTTTCTGGGCCTGTACGAAATCTCTCAGCTTGGTAGGACAGACAGAGGAAACAGGCATTTCACTAAGTTTTATCTTCAAGAACTCAGGGTTTCCTCCATGCCACGAGAAGACATCGAAGATGGACTTTAGTGAAAGAACAATCATTGTAAAAGGTGATATGAGCTAATTAGAGAGTGAATATGGCCTAGAGAATAGAAATATAACCTTGGACTGGCTCAAGACCCGCCTCTTAATAAATCCCACCTCTGGCTGTGTGGACCTATGTGGGACATTTAACCTGTTAGTACCTGAGGTAACTAAGAGTATAAATTGAAGAATAGTTAGGTAGAGTTTTCTATACCAATTCAGTCACAGGCCCAGACCTAGAAAAAAAAATAACTACGTAAATAAAAAGAAGAAATCCAACAAAAGAGAGAAAAAAAGCACTAAACGAGAAAAGGAGTAAGTGAAATTAAACCATGAAGCCAGTGTCATCTGCATTTTTTTGGTTCATTTCCCCAATTTTCTGTGGCTCGTTTATACATTCATGAAGGCCAGAGCCATGTGGGCTTCTGGAAGCACAGAAAAGAGCTCTTAGCTTCCATTCACTCCAGAACTTCTGGAAGTGGTCAGCCCCTGTGCAACTCTCCCTTGCATAACCAAAGTTTCATCGACTTGGTCAAGAAATACAATTGATTGGGGAAAACAAAGCTTTTCTGTTGATGACTTTATTTATTTAGTCCTCCTTTTTCAAGCTATCAAATAAGTTGCTATCTACATTTGGGATCAGATCATTCTCAAGGAGGTAGACTCATCATGAACTATTTCTTATGTGTGAAAACTACCCTATGACCATAATTCATTCAAACAGTACTTCAATAGTATACAATGCTAGAATTACCATATATTTTCAATTCCCTGTGATTTTTAATCCTATCCAAAAGATTGGCTCTTTCAGTTTGCAAGCCTTGAATATGAAAATGGAAAGGTTTAATTTCTCTAAGTTTTTAACCTACTCATAACACACTTATTTTTCACCAGCAACACTTAGCTGCCTGCAGCTCAAGGATATGTCCAGTAGCATCAGTATGCCTTTGAAAGAAATAGAACCATGAGGTGATTAGGGTGGCACAGTGGATTGAGAGTGCTAGATAGAGAGTCAAGAAGGTCCAAATTCAAATCCAGTCTCAAATAATTACTACCTGTGTGATCCTGACCTCTTTCTGCTTTAGTTTCCTCATCTGTAAAATAGGGGATAATAACAACACTTACCTCCCAGGGTTGCAGTGAGGACAAGAAGAGATTAATGTGGAAAACTCAATGTAAACATGAGCTTATGTTGATTTTTTATATTTTGCTATTGTTGTTCAGTTGTTTCAGTTGTGTCTGACTCTTCATGACCTCATCTCCTTCTCCAGCTCATTTTATAGATGAAGAAACCGAGGCAAACAGGGTTAAATGACTTACCCAGGCTCACACAGTTTTTAAGTGTCTGAGGCCAGATTTGAACTGGAAGTTTGAAGAGGAGTCTCCTGACTTCAGGCCTGGCACTCTATAATTAATCATTTTCTTGAGAGGTAGCATGAAGTAGTGAATGGAGAGTTGATGTCAGAGTGAGGAAAACATGGGTTCATGCTCCATCTCCAACACATGCTAGCTGTGTGAGTCTTGGCAAATCACTTGACCTTTCATTGCCTTAGGGAATGCTTTAAGACTTATAAGGTGCAAAGCTGGTGCTAATTTGGTAGAGAAAGTTTCCTTACCAGAAGCTCTCTATACTAATGTAATCACAGGTCTAGTCTAAAAAACCAAACCAAACCAAAAAACCCTACCTGAACCAGTATTCACAAGACTATAAATCGCTGTGATTAATTAGACAAGTCTGTTTGGTCAGGGCCTCTTCCAACAGTAATTTGCTCGTTCATTTGTTCAGTCCTTCAAAAGCCATGTATTGAGCTGTGCATGAAGGAATGTATAAGGCACTCAGCTCATTCAATCCCAATTGATCTTTGTTCAAACGACTTTCGTTTCTGGTTTATAGGTTCACATTTCTAAGCAAGATGGCCCCAGGAGATGAAGTAGGCACACCCTGAGTGGTCAATCAAATAGCTGTGTTTTGTTCCTAAAAAGCAGCTAGTGGATATGTAAAGATTTTCTTTCTTCAAACCATACTAGGATAGGAACTTCCTACAGGCTCAGGCCAGGCTGGTGATAGCTTCTGATTTGCTGAGGATTTTAGAGGATTTTTAAAACGTAGAACATCAGAACCTTTTACCTCTAATAATTAATCCTGTTTATAGATCACTGTAAGGTGTCTACAAATGCTTTACTCATAACATTCTTGTAGGGTGGTTAGTGCTAATATTTAACAAATGAGGAGCCTGAGATGAGAGAGAAGAAAAGTGTCAGAGCCAGAATCTGAACCTAAGTCAGCTAGCTTCAAGTTGATTGCCCTTTGAACATTACTACATTTTTTGAAGGGTTTTCTTTTTTTCCTGAAAATTAAATCATAGTTGCAGATTAGTGTGAACCAGAAATAGGATTTCATTAGAAATCATTTTGTCGTTGTTCAGGCTTTTTGGTTGTGTCTGGCTCTTTGTGACCCCGTTTGGGGTTTTCTTGGCAAAGACACTGAAGTGATTTCCTTCGCTAGCTCATTTTACAGATGAGGAAACTGAGGCAAACAGAGTTAAGTAATTTACTCAAGGTCACATAGCTACTAAGTGGCTGAGGCCAGATCTGAACTCGGGAAGATGAGTCTTTCTGACTTTAGGCCTGGCACTCCATCCGCTGCACCACCTAGCTATCCTTAGTAATAATCGTGCTTTAAAATTTACAGAGTGCTTTACAAATTTCATCTCATTTTTGTCCTCTCAACAGCTCTGGGAGATGAATGCTATTATCATCCCCATTTTTAAAGATAAAAAAATGGAAACCGATAGAGGTCAGGTGACTTGCCCAGGGTCACACAGGTAGCAAATGTTTGAGACCATATTTAAACTGTCTTCTGTCCCCAAGCCCAGTGATCTATGCATTGTTCTACCCGCCTGCCTAGTATTGAGCTCTCTTAAAGAGGAAGCTTCCTCTAGAAGAAATCCAGTTAGGGATTAACTGATAAACAATAGTCTCTGGTCTCTCAATTGGCTGTTTTGCTCACCAAGTTTTTCGTGGCTTAATTTCCAGACTACTAATATTGCTTATTGTTTTTGTTTGTTTCTCTGCAGTGATGAATCTAACCTTACAAGCATGAAGTTGTGTATATAATGCTCTACATTTTGTATTTATAGTTGAAAAATGAAATATAGGTTTTACAAGTCTGAGATATGTTTACATGTAGCTGCTTCTACCTGTTTGAATTGGCCATACGTACATCTTCTCTTCACTTACATCTGAAGTTAGACAGTATAGAAAACCATGTGGAGAGAAACCTGAAAACCCACAGATTGAGAGCTCTCTGGTATGACAACATGTAGCCATGCAGAAATAGCAGAGATAGAGTGTGATTGTGCCTGCCATGATTTGCCCTTCCATTGGACTCCCATGGACAATAAGTTCTACGAACTAGTCGTTTACGTGAAATTGTGACCAAATATGGACTAAAAGCTATGAAATGTATGGTACTGACTGATTGTATGTAGAGCTGAATGTCTTCTCATCCACATTCATCTCGGCCACCACCATTGACCCACCCCCCTTACCTGTTGAGATAAACTAAAAGAGCATGAAGTGTGTGCCCAACCTGCTTGTCCGATGCTAACCCGATGTTTCCTGACACCTTTGATCCCAGTCACTGAACATTTGTGTTCCTTTTGTCATTTTATCATTCCCAAGGGGGTCACACCGTGGCTTATTGCCAAAAAGAGATAAGTCCGTGGAGCAAGAACACGAAAAAGGTCTTGTATTTTGAGGGAGCTGCAGTCCTGACTGCAGAGCGACAGCTTCCAGTTTTGTGGGGGTCCCATGGGCCACCTTGGTTAAAAATACAAGGTGCCAGGCCTGTTGCCCACCAACAGTTTTCCTTGTACTGCTCCTGGCAGTGAAGACGTGCAAGGCGGACAAGTTCAGCGTCAGGCGCTGTCTCTCGTGTGACTGAGTAGGGAAGAGGTTTACAAAAGCAAACACCCAGAGCAGAACAAAAAAGTTTTTAACTTAAAATAAATTAAAAAAAAAGAATTCCACAACTGAAAACATGGGTGGTTTGGAAAGATGACGGAAATGTCCAGTGGTTCTTCTGGGGTAGGAGATATTTGAAACAACAGAACTTCTCTCTGAGGAATGGACAACTGGGGGTCACCATGTTGCATGATAGGGTTGCTAAAGAAAGGACAGGCTTTGATGAGAAGTCAAAATCACGCACTCTCCTACGAAGTAAAATGGCCAAGTTCATCTGGACAGTCCATGCTGCAACGTGATTGGACAGTGTATTTTTTGAAAAACAATTCATGTTGAACCTTTTCTACAGGGTTTTGGAAACTGATGATATTTTCATTTCTTTTGATTTTTTTTTTCTTTTGGCCGCCACTTTTTCCTTGTACCTTGCCCACTCCCAAGTATTTGTTTATTTGTTTCCATTTTCTTTTGTATTTGTTGTGACCAATTTTTAAGCACTGGAAGTCCTTCAAATCATGTGAGCCTGTTTCTAAAAACATTTTTTTAAAACTTTGAGTATTCTCATACTCAAAAAAAGACACTGTCCTCTCCAGCACTGTGACACAGTTGGCCTTTAGCGACCACCCCATTGAGGACAGCTGGAAAGAGCCGAAGAAAAAGAAGAGAGGCTCAGACCCCTGACTTTGTTAACTTTTAAGCATTCAAGTGATGCATTTTCATAATTTCAGTGCTTTCGTGTTGACTTTCTTTGATATGGTAAATATATACTATGTAAGGTCACTCCCTGCCTGAAACATGGCTCCAGGCGCCTCTAACTGTGCAGAATTGCTTTCTATTCCTCATGGTTCTATTTAGAGCTAAGCTTTGTCTGTATTCAGATTCTTTTATAATTATGGTTACGTACCTGAATGTCTTATCCGCAGACCAAATCTGAGCTATCAGAAATATGTCAGAGATAGAGCTGCTCTTTCATAAATAGAGCATCTGTTTCCACCTATTTGTCCCAAAGCCCCTAACCATCTCAGGCTGTCTATTTCTTGGATGCTTTGAAAGGGAAATGCTTTCCTGGCTATTCTAAATGGAAAGGTTACCTCAAAACAAGTCTCAGTGGAGGAAGGTCTATAGTTTTGAGCCATGCCGTAATTCAGATCCCCTCCTGAGTGTGTGTCCTTTTATAGGGAAGTTCCCATTCCATGCACGCATTTTCAATAACCAAAAGGAAAAACAGATGATCTCCATCTCACTTTTTATTCAGTTGCCAGCATTTCAGAAGGGATCCATGATCTCTCTTTTACAATATGTAGCAGAATGATCAATCATACCAAATGTCCTCTTCTTTTTATTTTGTTTTTTTTTTTACCCCCATCCCTTTTATTCTTCATTGACTTCTTTCCAGGAGGGTGTAGGGGAGGGGGGGTAATCAAACCACTGGATTAACTCATTTGAGTGGTAACATTTTCAGTAACATTCCACCCCGGAGCCCTGTCCAGCATTCTTGGGAGTCTTTGAGGAGCACCTTCTAATCTTCTGTGCTATGACTTAGGTTAGGATGGAGGGAACTTGGGTGAATGGGGCAAAGAGCTTCTTCTTTGTCTGAAACAATTTGTCTTAAGCCAGTGTTGAACAGAACCCTAAAGAGGCTAGGGCTCTGAAGTCTTTTAAAAAATAGCTGTAAATATAAGAATTTGACAGGGATATTTCATCCTTGTTATTTTTTTTCTTTCTTTTCCTCTTACAGAAGTGAATGGAGATGAATTACTCTTTAAAGTTTGCTTAGATTCAAAACAGAACAAAAGGAAACTTTTCTCAATCTTTTCCCCCATTGGGATGCCTTCAATATAGTTTTTTTTAAGTTTTTGATTTTTCAAGGGGCTATTCCAACCTATCTGAATATACAGTTTTGTAACCGATTTGACAATACTGTTTTTCATTCAATGAGCAAAGGAGGCTGTAAACCTGATTTCTGTGTACTTGGGAATATGACCAAAGAAGGTACTTCTCAGCCTAGGGAGAACACCTAGTATATGGACATAAAGTACACCTGGAAGACAAGTCAAATTCTCATCCAAAACTTTTCTTTCCAGTCTGCAAATGTGGTAAACTCCTCTGTCTTGCAACAAAAGATGTAGTTATTCATTTCATTGACTGGAGAAGAAGTTCTATTAACATGAGGGTCTCTTTCAGTGTGACTTTCAGTGAGATCTAATGGGTTAGTCATGTCTTTCGATGCAGATTTTGGAAAGATGCCTATTTTCTTTGTAGGTCTTTTTGTGCATATAAGAAGTTTTGGATATTGAAAAAAAAACAAGCTTAGTCTAGTTATAAAAAGAGAGGATCCTTCGAAAACACAAAACAGGTTGTTTTATCTTTCAAACTATTTTGACGTTGTTTTAGTGCTAATATATTATTTTTCTTGGAAGAGCAGAGTGAGGAAGTAAGCTCCATTATGGACCACGTCTTGTCTGTTTGGCAGCCTGCTTCAGCTAGCTTGGAGGTAGGAGAGGAGGGGAATCCTTTTAAAATGGGCAGACTTGCAGTGATGGGGATTCAATGACTAGCCCTCCCAACTGCCACAATGTTTCACTGACCTGTGTTTACATAGAACATATATCCTCTCACTTAGTGTCTCATGGTTTATCTTATTTCTTATTTTTTATATTCATTTATCAACTTCCACACTCACTCCAATCAATAACAGAGTTCCTCTCTAGAGGGGCCAAGTTGACATGTACTACCCACACTTGAACACAGGACACAAATATGTATACATTTTCTCTGGTTTTAATTTATCTTAGTCTCAATCTAGCTTGAGGGAGTATTTCCTCCCCCCCCCACACCCCTTTTTTTCTTTGGATAACATTTATGGAAAATTAAATCTATGACACAGGTTGTTGGTGCTATACACAAAATTCTTTTCTTTTTTCCTTTCTTTTTGGTGAATTTCTCATCAGTGTGTAGTTCTGATAAGACAGGGAGTACCTGTATTATCTGGCTTCATATAAATGTTTTTTGACAATAGCAAAAGTGTATGTATAAATGCAAGTTTGGAAAATGGTCAAATCAGCATGCCTGCAACTATGAAAATATTGTGTATAGCATTTTGAAATGTTTGATCCCTTCCAGACTCATTCTCTATCTTGCTGATGTAGCATGAAAAGTTGAAATTCTCATTTTCTAGTTATATGTTATTAAAAGTACGGCCCTATGTAGAAATGGGTTATGTTCTTGTTCTGCTGTTTGAACACCTTCCCATAAGTGAAAACATCATGGTGGGCAAACAGATGTCAGCATTTCAAACTTCATTAGCTCTACTTCTTGGTGATCAAATTGTTCGTTTGGTTTTTATCAGCAAGTCTTCAAGACAATCTAGGAGAGACCCTTTCATCTCTACAGAATCTTACTTAATTTTTCATTTTTTTAACTGAAAACTTTGGTACCTCCAGAAGCTTGGTTCTGTATGGGAACCTATGGTTAGAATTAAATGTAAACAGGTTTAATGATGAGATATGTGCTGCAATTAAAATAGTATATCTAAGGTATTATTAACATTCGTAAGCATTTGCTACAATCCTGCCAACTTAGTAGGGAAATAAGGACGCTAAGCCTCTCCTACCATTTCCCTGAAACATTGGCTTAGGTAGCTGGATTCATTGAGATGCATAGTAGGGAATCACCTCCAACCTTAATTTCTGGTGGAGTTTGTACTAATCCACTACAGAATGAATAGCATGAAAAATAATGCCACTTTAAATGCAGTTTTTTAAAAAGCTAATCACGCTGCTGATTAATAGAACTATCCTTACTTGGTAAACAGGGGTACCTTACTCAACCTAGAACTTTTATTTCAGCATTTGTTGACGTTTAACCAAAAATTATCAGAATTTCTCATAATGTAGTTGGTACATGCACACATATCAGAAATATTATTGAATTAGATTCATGGAGGACGTTTTACATACTGTTAACACTTTTGTGGATATTCTTTTATTCATGTACATGTTTGGAAAAATAGAATACTGTGCAGCTGATTAACATTTGTAAAAGATGTATCTGACCATCTTTTTCCTTTGGAAAATATATTTTTATTTGTATTTTTTACTTTTTTTAAGTTCATCAATATGTGCAGTTATTTTTGTATTACAGAAGACGAGTGATCTCATCGATACATGACAGGAGAAAAAAATGCAAAAAGTATTTTAGCAAGCTTTACCCTGCTTATGGTTGAAACCTTCTATGGGCCAGTCTCATGTCATTGATTATATTAAGAGTATGTTGTGTCTTATCACTGTAAATATGGCACAAATCTGGATTTCCCAGTTATGTAAATAATAGCAAAGTTGCATTTTGATGACTTAGTTTATCTTCATTGTAACCTTGACGGCTGCCTTTGTTGAATCAGGAAAAAAACCAGCATGGGTTTGTTTTTTGGTTTGAAAATATTGCCTTGGTTTTCCATTTTCCATTTGTTTTATTTGAGTTTTTTAACTTGTCTAGGGGGTCCCTAGTTTGTGAGAAGTTGATCTTCAGAATTATTTTTACACTATTTATGACTTATTTTCATAATGTAAAAAGTGTGTAATTATTAAAATATTAGTCCAAACATTGACACTGGATTGTCTTAAGTTCTGTGTTCATGCAAATCTTGGTCTAATCTCTTGGATGAAAACAAAGTCTGTAAGAATGAGGATCCATTATTCCTTCAATTAAAGCAATGATTCGCAACGTGTGGCCTGGGAACCCTACAGGTTCCCAGAGACTTTCAGGGGTTCCACAAGGTTGAAACTATTTTCATAATAATACTAAGACATTTTAATTTCTAATATGACAAATATTGATAGATATGACCCTCACAAGCCAAAATTCTTTGAGAGTTCTTCCATATTTTTTGAGATTGAAAAGTTTGAGAACCACTACATGAGGGATAGCTTGGTGGCACAGTGGATGGAACACTGGCCCTGGATTCAGGAGGACCTGAGTTCAAATATGGCCTCAGACGCTTACTAGCTTTGTGACCCTGGGCAAGTCACTTAACCCAGTTGCCCCCTAAAAGAAAGAAAACCACTACATTAGAGTTATTGCAACACACAGGCAATGATGATTATTATATAATATATAATTACTCCCACGGAAGTGAGCCCCTAATATTTGTTACTATTTGAGTTGCAAACAAATAAATCACAATGAACTCACATGAGCAACTTTACTCAGGTATAGGATGAGGAAAACAGCTCAGGTATCCAATTATTGCCAGTAGTTCATGTTAATTCATGCTGTCAAGTTGATATAAAAACAGAGGTCAAGGTAAGTTCAATGTACAAGGGCTTCCATAAACATTACTGACCCCAGAGACCTTTTATACCTGGTAGTAGTCCAAGACTACTATCAAAGCCTCCCTCTTAAGCTCTGAATGTCAATTACCTCTGCCTATGTTGACTCAGTTTTCCTTATCCAGTTAAATGCCAAATATTTCCTTTGTGGTCCTCTCCTTTTGGAAGCCAGGCAGTATCCCCGCCAGAAGGTACAACTGCTTAGTCAGTCAAGGAACCCTGACTGATTCTATTGACCTCATTTCCCTCCTGCAGAAGACACACATAGATCCAACCATCTAGGAGAATCTAATTAAATGCTAGGGACTCAGTGAAAGACGAGGGTGGGGATGGAACTTTTTTCTTTTATACTCTGGTAGGGATTGGGGTAGAAAGTGGACTCAAGCATCGTAACACACACACACACACACGCACACACATACACACACTAAAAAAAACCCTAGGTGTTTTAAATTATTTTTTTATTTTTGTCTTCCGCACAATATCATAATGATATTAATGCAATGAATGTTACTCCAGTGTGAGAAAACAGTTTACATTTCAAGCTATTATGAGGTTTACAAATGTATTTAATCAATCAAAAAAAAATTTGCTATGTGTAAGCACTTGAAGATAAAAAATAATTAGTCTTTATTCTCAAGGATCCTACATTCTAATAAAGCAAATGACACACGTAAATTATAACATATAAGATAATTTCAAAGTAGATGGAAGGTAGTCATAGAGGGAATGGCACTTGTACCTGGGAAGACCAGGAAAGGCATCCCTGAAGGGAGGTGGTATTTGAGCTGAGTTCAGAGAAAACCAGGAATTCTGATAGTTAAATGTTTGGAGGGAGAATATTTTAGGCATGGGGAATAGCCAGTTCAAAAACATGAAGATAGTAGATGGAGTATCATGTGTAAGAAATGGCTGGTGAAGGGGCAGCTAGGTGGCACAGTGGATAGGGCACTGGCCCTGAAGTCAGGAGGACCAGAGTTCAAAAAGAAATGGCAGGTGAGCCAGTACATTTGGACCTTATGGTGCACTGGAGGGAGTAAAGAAAACTGAAGAGGTAGGAAGAGGCTAGGTTGTGAAAACCTTTAGATACTAAACAAAGAACTTCATATTTTATCCTGGAGGCAACAGGAAGCCACAGTTTATTAGGTAAGGAGGGTGGTCTGGTTGGGCTTAGAAATATCACTCTTTCTAGGTAAAGAGACCAAGAGGAGGCTATTGTAATGGTCCAATAGAGGTGATGAGGGCCTGAACTAGTGTGGTGGCCATTTTGATGATAAGTGGATGAATGCAAGAGATATTTTGGAGAAGGAAATTACAAGATCTGTCAAGGGATTGGATATGTGGGGTGAGAGAAAGAAGGACATGAGGCTGTAAACCTGGGTGACAAAAAGGTGGAGGTACCATCCACAGTAATAGACAAGTTCAGAAGAGAGGTAGAGTTTGGGGGGAAGTCAGTAGAGTTCTCTATGGTCCATGCTCCTCCCTCGAGGAGCTCCCATTCTATTAGGGTAATATTCTAAGCTGGGTCTGACTCAGGCTGGTCCCCTGGTAGTTTAGGTTTGCTACTGGAACAAAGTGAGCTACTTGTAAGTCATTCAATAGTTAACAAAGAGATTTACTTAGCCAAAGCAGAAGAAGAATAAGCAAAGATGGACGTTGTGAACACCTTGAATTGATTGGGTTGCTCATCACGACTCACCAGCCAGGGGTCAGTGAAAGATCTTGGAAGTCCTTGTGGCTGTTTTTGTACTCAAGCAATGAGGAGAAGGGGCAGGTAGGTGTCGTAATGAATAGAGTACTGGGTTTGGAATCAGGAAGACTCATCTTCATGAGTTCAAATCCAATTAGACATGCACTAGCTGTGTGACCCTGGGCAAGTCACCTAATTCTGTTTGCCTCAGTTCCTCATCTGTAAAATGAGCTAGAGAAGGAAATGGCAAACCATTCCAGTGTCTCTACTGAGAAAACCCCAAAAGGGTCATGAAGAGTTGGACATGACTGAAATAACTGAACAGCAAAAAATGAGAGTCATCAACAATCTGAACCCTTCTCCCCTAGACTAACCAAGTTTATATTTTCAATACTACCTTGCATGGGGGTTAGTGTTTGGATCTTCTACCACAGGGAGATAACATTTACATAAATCAGCATATGCAAAATAAAGACAAAGTAAATTATATGTGTGTTTCCTCACACCAACCCTTGGGAAGTGGGTCGTACAACTGGTAGTTACCCCATTTTACAGATGAGAAAACCAAGGGAAGTGATACAGCTAGTAAGTGCCAGAGTCTGGATTCAGGCTTCCAGCTCTTTCAGTCTGCACAGTCACCCAGTGGTTATATAAATAATTGGATATTGGAAGATACAGTGTGATGGTGATATCATAGACCCTTAATGAATTTCACATTGCTGTACCACTGACTGATACATCATAAGGGAGACAAGATACTCTTTAGGTACAGAGTGGGAGCTATGACTTCAAGTCCATTCAATGTTGTAAGTTCCAAAACCACTGATAGACGGTTCATTGCCAAATCTTTCTTTCATCAAAGCCATAGTTCTTTAGCTGTGCTTTGTTCATCCCTTTAAAAGCTGATTTTAACCCTGAGTCGTATAGTCAAGGGACTGGTGAGACTCAACAACAGATATTTTCAATAAGGATAGCATGAACTCAGGAAAATAAGAAAACTCATCTTATCACTGCATGCCTCAAATGGCTTTGCCTTTACTCATCCACATTAGATTAAGATTGGGACTTGTCCTGCTGGTTCTTCTCAAGCTGATACAAATCAGCCTTGGGATATGGACAAATTTAGTTAATTGATAATCCTAGAACCCTAGGAAGACCCCGTCTGTCCTAGGTAATTTGGAATGATGCTTAATGAATTTCAGTCCCAAATCCCCATGACAGTCAAACACGGACCTTAACCGGGGTTAATTAGACACAAAAGGATCACTTCTGATAAGTCAATAAGCTAATCAACACATTAACCTTATGACAGACACTGTTATAGATGCTAGAGATTCAGAGATATAAAACAAAACAAAGCAAAACGAAAAAACACAACAACCCCACATCACTTCCCTTGCAGAACTTACATTCTACGGCGGGAAACATGCATAGGTGTATATAAATAGAAGTAGATACAAAGTAAGTGCAAATAAATTTCATGGAGGTACTAGCAAATGGAGGGGTCAAGGAAAGCCTCATGTAAGAAGTGGCATTTGAGTCCCAGCTTTAAAGTGAGCTAGAGATGTTAAGAGGTGGGAGTAAGGAATGAATGAATTCTACCCAAAGGCATTGAGACAAAAAAAAAATGTCAAATAGGCCATTTTGAATGAAACTTGCATTAGAGAGTATGGTACGTAATTGACCTACAAAGGTAGATGGGTAGATGAGCATCAGATTGTAAAGTGTTTGTTGTGGGAGAAATGTACCCTCTCTGAGTTCATGCGGTAGGTAAATGCTGCCAAATATATATTTACCACAATGCAGAAATTTTAGAGGTAAAAACCTAAATTTTATTATTATGTTCAAGCATAAGTTCAAGCCTCAGAGAAAACCTGAACAACCAGGAGGATTGTGACAATGCTTCATATAAACCACATTATATCAGTGCAGAGAAATAATTCTTTTACAAAATGCAATCTGGCATATTCCTCTTCGGCCATAAAAGTTAAAGTTAAGTCTTCAATCCCAGTGTTTACCTCAGGGTCAAAAAAGTGGAACAAATTTAGTTGAAAAGTCATAATCTCATACATCCCCCAACAAAACAAATCAAACAAATTCTCTGCGTAAACTAAGTCAGTTACAGGGTCAGCATCATTTAGAGGTTTCACAAATAGGCAATGACAGGGAACATTTACATGTAAACAAGATAACGGAGACTACTCATCAGGGAAATTCTTCCTTCAATGCTTTAGCTAGGGAAGCTAACACATAACTAAATCACTTTGGTTTCCCTTTGGTTTCCATTGGAGGGATGTCAAATAGTGTCCCTTTATTTCATGAGTCAGATTTTGGCCAGGGAAGGTTAATATTAACAGAAGAGGACAGGCTTTTAGTGAACCAAAATTTGCAAGGGAAATGACCCTGAGTCCTGAATAATAAAAAGCAATAAAAATTCCCATAATAGGCTTTAATTGAGTTTTCTTCCTCCTGAGATCTTTGATCATTTCAATCTTTCTTTTCTTCTTATAATCCCCTAGCATTCAATTTCTGACTCTTCCTTTGAGTATGGCTTTTCTGGAGAACAGATCTCAAAGTCATCTAAGCCTC